GCCGCGAAAATGCGATCTACGTAGGTGGTCGGCACGTCTTCACCGCTTGCAGGCAAGTCTATAAGAGCTCGCCCCGGCAGGCATTGGGCGTTTCAGCCCCTCGACGGTCTGAACTTCCGGACATCCTCGTATCCAAGTCTGGGAGCCGCCGACGGTCCGTTACCGACCGACCGACAGGATGGACTGGGGTCTAGCCTCGGCAGCGCGTTTCATCATCACGAACCTATAGAAGATCCTCTGCGACTGGAGGATGACTGACACGTATAAATAGCAGCATGGATGTGGACTGATGTTCATAAGCTGGAACCAGACAGCTAGTTAGCGTTCTCTCTGGGCTGGACCTCTGGAGCCGAACGGAGGCCCCATGGTTCAAAAATGAGACGGTCGTCAAAATGCGGACCGAACGAATCCGTAGTAGTGCTTGCTACTTGTCGCTAGGCGTGAACGCTGTCCTAGACTCCTAGGAGCTTAAGACGTAGTAAAAGCATCATCGTATCCTCGTTGTTTCATCATCGCAGGTCTCCATGCGCGCATGGGGTGGCTGCATGCATGGTGAGGCTAGGTGGATGGTGGTGGTGTTGCACGGGGGGGAGGACAGGCATCGGAAGGCGGAAGGCATTTCCATTTGTTGGGTGGCGCTAGGAAGGCCGGAGGCCAGAGAGGGGCTTGGCTAATTAATGGGTGCTCGCTCCAGGACCACCCCATGGGCGAAGATCGCATTCAACCACCGGCGCACAACCCATGCGTATGCGTCCAGGAATCCCACCCGGAGGGAGTCTAATGCTTGGGTTGGACCACCCGCCGGTAGATATCTAGTCTGCGGCGCAAGTACCTCCCTTAGAAGGCGTAAGTATCTCGCCTTGGAGACACACTACTATGAAGGAGATGTCGCCAACTCCGGTAAGGTTTGCGTTTGGCGAGTCAAGCCTGCAAGTCCATTGGATTGAGGGGCATCGCAGAAAGATGCTTACCATACGCACCGGAGCAGGTGATGGAGGGGTTCCTGTCCATTCATCCAGCCTGGCCTGTGATCACTCTCCTCGTGTACGCGCTGACCGTCACAAAACCAGGCACCGTATCAGACCCCCACCAATCAGCCCGGAGTGGTCCCTGAGCTGGGTGGGGCTCCCCGAGTGATCCCCCCCTCAGTCGGTTAGTACGGTCCCGGCCATACCTGGCGATACCGGCGACTGATTGGCGGGACCCCGCTGATTTAGCCTTTGAACTCATTTCGTTTACCTGTGGTTCCTTCCACAGGGCCCGACGGTAATTACCCGTACGGGCAGCGATATACACCTGCGACTAACTGGTTAGGAGTTCCAACTTCTTGTCTTTTGGTCCCCTGGGTGGTACCAGCTGCTCTTCCTCCACAAGGAGTCACTGGGGCCTTTTCCTCCTCCTCCTCCTCCTCCTCTACTTCCTTCCATACGCTCTTTTCAACTTCGCGGCCCGGAAGCTCGCTGTCCTTCTTTTACTCATCTTCCTCGGGCGTGGCCCTGCTGTCTGACCATATCTGGGGTTACTCAGGTTTCCTTTCTTTCATCTCCCACTTTCTTTAACGCGCTCGCACTGCTAGGTTGACTCCAGTGCGCGCTTGCTTTGCTTCATTCCGGCTTCTTTTAGCAAACAAAGAAGAGAAATATCTCATCCACCGGCATTTGAAGACTTTGTTACGATAGGATCATCATATATTCTTATAAACTCTTTCATACTGTCTGGACTTCCATGCTTGTTTTTTTCCTTGTCTGCCTGAGCGTGCAGATCTGCGAGGTACTGTGGCGTTCATAATCTCAACTTCAAAGGTCACAGAAGGCTCGCCAGCCTCCCAACGACTTGCAAAATGGTGCACGCACATGCTCACCAAGACCATGGGGCTCACCTGGAGGCACGCGGTGATGGCGATGTGACGGTGGTTTATGTGACAATGACTCCGGATTTCGATGGGCCGATCGGAGGCTATGTAACCGGGGACCAGACATCCTCAACATCTTCAAGTACCAAGCGCAAGACAGCGGGTGTCGGCGCTGCAGTTCAACAGACACGGTCCTCGTCAGATGACACCGAAGCGACAACAACCGCGGCAGCAGCGATAACTACCGCGGAGACAGATACCACTGCCACTGGGGCTGCTGAGACGGAACAGACCACCCAGGCGTCAGAGACAGACCAAGAAACCGCATCGCCGGCGAGAACTACTTTCCTGACCAGCACCTCGTCCGCATCCTCTCTAGAAAACACCGACTTAGCAAATACCGCCGTCTCTGCATCCTCTGCCTCATCTTCCGCGTCGGCATCCCCAAGCGCGGTGGTTGGCTCCGAGGGGCTGTCTGGAGGCGCAAAGGCAGGAATTGCGATAGGCGTGCTCTTGGGACTTGGTGTGGTCGCCGGAGTGATTTTCCTCCTGATGCGCAAGAAGAAGCAGCAGCAGGAGAAAGAGAGACTTGCGGAGATTGAAGCCGAGAATGAGAAGTTCACCATCCCAGAGGACACCGCGCCACCACCGCCTCCTCCAAAGCCCATTCCAAAGGCTCCTTCTACTCCCCCTCAACTGAACATCCGCCCCGTCACTCAGTTTGCGCCTTTTGCGTCGGACTTTGGCTTCAGGGACAGTGTCTCTCGCTTCTCTACGGTTGGTGCCGGCGCGGCCGTTGCTTCAGGTGCAGTTGGTACACGCAGTCTGACCGGAAATTCGTCGTCGCCGCCAGCTACCCCAGAGTCAACTATATTCAGCAAAGATCCGTTCAGTGACCCAGTCAATCCATTTGGTGGTTCACCTGGGGGAGGCTCTCCTACGACAGGAATAGCTCATCGGCCTGTATCCGTTTCTGAAAGCTCCCATGCGACTACGGCTGCTGAGGCAGTGGCTGCTGGAGCTGTAGCCGGAGCTGGTCTTGCAGCTGTTGCCGAAGAGGCCTCAGGTTCAGAGGCGTCTGAGAAGGAGTCACCAAATCGTCCGGAAACCTCCATGTCACACGTGCCTTCCGAGCGTCGACCTTCGAGTATCAGTAATTTGAGCCACATTGGTTCCGAGATGGGGGCCATTCCAACAGCTGCTGCCGTTGCTACTGCCGTTCCAATCGTTGCATCTGCAGGGCCCGGTCCGGCACCATCCAACGTGCATCGTGTGCATATGGACTTCACCCCTTCGATGTCGGATGAGTTGGAACTCCATGCTGGTGATCTCGTTCGGCTACTGCACGAGTATGACGACGGATGGGCTCTTTGCGTTCGACTCGGCCAGTCGCAACAGGGCGTTGTCCCCCGCTCCTGTCTCTCTTCCCGGCCTCTGAAACCGCGCACTGGCCCGCCTCCAAGCGCTGGTCCCAAACTACGCGGGCCGCCAATTATGGGTCCAAACGGCCCTATGCCGGCAGGACCCACGACGCAGGCACCGCGCTTCTATCCTCCGGATATTCGGCCACTTTCGCCTGCGCGCCCGATGTCCCCAGCTCGTTCCATGTCTCCAGCACCGGCACCGCGCTTTTATCCACAGGAGATTCGACCACTCTCGCCCGCACGTCCCATGTCTCCCGGTCATCCTGGCTACGCCGGCCAACGCCCTATATCGCCGGCAACATTCTTCCCCGACGTTCCACGGTCACTTTCTCCCGGACCAGGTCCCAACCCAATGATCCCTAGATCCATGAGCCCTGGACCTCATGGGCCCCCAGGATTTCAGAGACCAGAACCGTCAGCAAGCCAGCGTGCACCTAACAACAGCAGTGGTGGCCCTGTTGCGCAGAACCCTCGAATAACAGGACCAAGCCCTCTGGGAGGTCCCGGGCGGCCGCAGCAAACAGCCAGGCTTTCCCTATTTCCTGCAGCAGCACCAGCAAAAGCCGAGATGCATACTCCCAGACAGCCATGAGCCCTGACATGAGATGCTATCAGCTGGCACAGACGTCAATTTACGGTCCACTCCCATGATACGTCCCGGATGAATCCTTCAAATCACCATAGGCTTATGTTGAATGCACATATCACACTTGCTTACGTCCTCCATTTATCTGATTAACGCTACCCTTTCCCACCTTCAGGAAGATATTCCATTTTACCAACCAACCTTCCAGACCTCCATCTCTGGTCTCATTCTTTGTCTACACTACTGTCACTGTCCCCTTTCCGTTCATGTGAATGACCCACCCATATACCACTTGATCTTGATTGAATTTCTGTCCCGTTTCTTGATACCTAAGACTTACTTCTTCTTCTTCTTCTTCTTCTTCTTCTTCTTCTTCTTCTTCTTCTTCTTCTTCTTCTTCTTCTTCTTCTTCTTCTTCTTCTTCTTCTAATCCTTTTTTTTCTTCTTCTGTTCATCTTATCTTCCTCCTTTCTCTTCTTCTGTTGCCAGCAACACCATTGTAACATAGCTGCGCTCAAGCCTTGACCACACCGTCACTTTCTTTCCTCCTCCTAGAGAAAAGAGGCTCCCAGATCATGTCTGTCACTGCCATTTACTTGATCATTTTGTGTATGTACGTGTCAAGGTCTTCTCTTTTCTTTTCCCCCACATTTGATTGGTATGGCATGTTTTTATGCGAGACTACCTACCTACCTACCTATCAAGAGTTAGTTAGTGGTAATGTCTTTTCTACTTCTATGTATTATTATTACTATTGTTAATTGATTAATGTATGTATGTTCACTATTACATGGTATCCAGGAAGGAGTTTGACCAAGTCTGGATGATTCGATGGTGAATTTAGAAGGAATATAATCCGTCTTTGATATACTACTAGTGATAGCAAGGTACTATGGGTAACGCTGTAGTTGATAGTACCTCGATGTAACTTTTATTTTATCATTCATGAATGGTAGTAGAATACTCTTGAATGTAGGGTTGAGGTGGGGTTGGAGTGATTTAATCCAGACACACTGGGATTTATCCCTCTCTCCTGAACAGATATATATACATGTGGGTATGTTATGCAAGTATTCATTGATGATCAGCCAATCATCAGTTGAGGCAAGTCTAATAATACTGAATCCTATTTAAAGGTGCGGAACACCTCCACTAGCAAGAAGGAGATTGACGATGCTGATGATTCCCTCGCCGAGAATTAATCCGGAAGCGAGAACCACGACCGTAGAAGAGGCCACGTCGGCGTCTTTGGCGGCGGCGGGTTGTCCGGAGGACGATCCAGCGAGTTGATCTCTCGCCTCAGAGCCAGGTATGTTCTGCTGAGCATGGGGGTCAGTTGCGGCGTGGGTGTGGGTGTGTCTGCGGGACCACCACCAGGCGATGAGGCCGCCAATGGCTCGGGCCAATGTGAAGGATGGGACGTTGAAGATGCCCACGGCGACGGCGATACCGCCGGGGATAAAGTCGCGCCAGGGGTGGGAGACGTCGCGACGGCCGCCGTTGGCGATGGGGGAGGCGGCGACAATGCGCAGGATAGTCACGGCGACGAAAACCAGGCCTGCGACCAGGGAAGCTTGCCATGCCATCGGGGGAAGACCTTGACCGGTGACGAGACGGGCGGTGAAGATCCACACGTAGGCTGTCGGGGTTTGGAACATGGGGCCGGGGACTTCGTAGACGCGCACGTACATCTTGTAGACGGCGGTGGAGAGGACGGCGCCGACGAGACTGCCGATCATTTGGCCGTAGAATTGGGCTTTGGGGCTGGCGCCGAGCAGGTGGCCGGTTTTCAGGTCCTGCATCATGTCGCCGGCTTGGAGGGCGCCGGATTCGGACACCGCACCGGCGAGGAGGTTGGTGACAAGCGCGGTGCGGCGGGAGAAGTGCGAGGCCGGGGTGGCGAGGGAGAAGAGCAGCTGGGTTAGCTTGCTGATGCCGGAGACGGGGTTCAGGTCTGTTTCGCCTAGCGCGCGGACGCCCATGATTGAGAGGAGGACGGCGAGGAGGGTGGCGAGGCTGGAGAGGAGAGGGGACATGATGTCGCCGAAGACCACGTGCATGCAGACGACGTTGAGGAGGAGGGTCAGGGGGAGTAAGATGATCACGGTCCGGGAGGAGATCAGCTGGGAGGGAGGCGCATCGTCATCTTCGACACCGGCCGTGCTGGGTCGCCCGGTGGAGGGGGCGGAGTGGCTTGGAATGGATGACTCTTCGGTGATGGGACTGAGGACGGAATAGTTGATGTACGACTGGCTGTGGGGAGGCGTGGATCCTCTCGGGAGCATCCGACGCCCGATGTGAGTCCGGAGAAGTCGGTCTTGCAGCTTGAGGACAAGGGGTACGAGGGGCCTCAGCACCAGCCAGCCAAGGCTGACGAGAGAGTCGGCCAGCATGATGGCCAGTGAGATCCATACAATCCATGCTTTACTTCCATCCTCCCAGCTGTCCACCGGCCCAGGGGCCCATCCACGCGCTTTGGCAAGTGGCGAGAGTATCCCCCAGCCGAGAACGGCTCCAAAGAGCATGTGCATACAGGTCGAGGGACCCATGATGATGCCTTGGCCGACATAGGCGGGCGACGGATTGAGGGTCCATAACCAATTTTTCGCGAGGTAGAGACCCAGGATCGGGATATCACGAACCTGCGGGACGAAATAGGAGAAGAGAGTCTGCAATAACGACATCAGCTTAAGCTCAAATGACTAGGAACGGTGCCTCACATAAACCCCGGAAACCGCGAAGGCGCCCACCAGGAGACGCATCTTCGATCTCCAGTCCTTTTGGTTATCAACGGAGTCATCAGAGCTATTCTGTTTAAGCAGAAACGCACTTTCCCCAGATTCTACAGGCGCTTCGTATTCTTCCTGACGCTGCTGAACGTCCTCGACGTCATCCACCCTGGGCTTCGCCTTCTCATCGCCGGATCCGCTCCCATGCAGCACCTTCAACATCAGTGCCGATGCCGTGCCGCTCGGGAACTTCAGCTTCTCCCGAACAATCACCTCCCGCCTCAAAGGGACGGCGAACACGACCCCAAACAGACACACACCCAGACTCCAGAGCACCAACTTCCAGAAGTTTAGCTTCAGAGGCCCACCCTCTCCTGAGCCGCCGTCACCAGACGGGCCATCCTCCCCATCCCTGATGAGGAACTCCAGGGCGGGGATGACTCCGACAAAGCCGCATCCCAACGGCATGGTGCCCACTGCGCCCGCCACCGTTTGTATGAGGACGTTCTCGACGGGGGTGAACGGGTAGGAGAGGTGCTTGGATAGGACCTTGAAAACCGAGAAGCCGATCAGGGCGGAGGGCATGGCCATGGTGCTGATCCATCCTGTCTGCAGGCCGAAGTAGGTGTTGGAGAAGGTGATGAGGGCGCCGACGAGCAGGCCGACGAGCAAGGATCGCGCGGTGAAGCTCTGGGGGGCGGGAGCAGTGTTGTGAAGACCATCGTGGCAAGCCCATCGTCCATTTCCGTCAACGGAGGACCTGGGCGATAGGCGGTCCTGTTGACGGCTGTTGTCGGGGGCATTATCTGCCATGGTGATTGATTGGTAATTCATCGAGGACCGACAACCGCGGGTTGTTCGGGAGGTCTACCCAGCAAGAGGGGACCGGTCTCCTGTCAATGAAGTTAGGGGAGGAAAGGGTCAACGATCCATCACGGAGATGAGGAGGAGGGAAGAAGTGGGGGAGATAAGAGGGGAGAATTGGTGGTTGTTGTTGATCGGAAGGAGATGATAGATAGATAGCGGTGGAGGCATCGCCGATGATGCGATTGATGATTAATGCTCAGGCTGTCAGGCTGTCAGGCTGTCAGGCTACCATCACCCGGCGCACTGGATCGCGGCTGAGTCAGCCGCGATAACAACGACCATTTCAATTCCAAGGATTCAGTCGAACATTCCTCTCGATACAATCATTATTAATCTAATCTATTCATTGGCATTCATGCATTAATGACTGGCTCATCAGACCACCGCATTCATCCGTTCTCCAACACACCACTTCTCCACCGTCTGCTTGAACATCCGCTCGCTGTTGATGAGCGTCCGCTGGGTGTACCAAGCCAAGTGCGGCGACAGAACCAGGTTGAGATCCTCGGTCCCCTCGGCCAGCAATGGGGAGTTCTCGGGTCCAGCAGGCTCCTTCAGGAATACATCCGTTGCCGCACCGGTGATCTGGTTTTCTTGCAATGCCTTGACAAGTGCCTCCTCGTCTACCACGCCGCCTCGCGAGACGTTCACCAGAACCGCATGCGGAGACATGGCTTCGAACTCGGCCGTCGAGAGGAGATTGCGCGTAGTAGGCGCCAGAGGGACCGCCAGGAACAGCACCGTACTCTGCTTGATGACCGTTTCAAATGGAAGTCTCTCCTGATTGCCGTTCGGATGGCCCAGCGCGCTCGGATCCTCGGGCTGCTTGCGCTCGGCAACGATAACCTTCATTCCCAGCCCGCGGGCCAGACTAGCGATCCGTTTCCCTAATTCTTGGGTCAGTCGGGTAACCGGCGACCATGGACACAACACAACACTTACCGACAGCGCCATTTCCGATAATCCCCGCCACTTCCTCCTGGCAAGTCATAGGCGGGGTGCCGTCGTGGGCGCGGCAATCAAACATCAAGGTCCGCCTCCGGGGCCACTCGCCCGCCCTGATCAGCGTGTGCAAGCGCAGGACCCTGCGCCGGGCGGCGAAGTAGAGTCCGAGGGCATGCTCCGAGACAGCCTCGGTATTGACGGCAGGACAGTTGCTCACAGCGATGCCCCTTTTCCGGCATGCCTCGAGGTCGATGCAATCGGTACCCGCGGCGACAACCATAATCAGTCGGAGGTAGGGGGTGACTTCGGGGGATAGCGTCTCTGCATCTAAGCGGAGGGCGCCTATGACCACGATCGTGGCGTCGTGGATGCGGGCATGGAGATCGGACAGCGCCGTTTGGCCGTAGATGGTTCTTTTGCATGTGTGAGGAGGTGGGAGTTCGAACTCGGGGGTGTTGATGAAATCGCCTTGCAGGGCCACGAGGTGATGCTCAGTGGGAGAAGGTGGGGGCGCCATGATCGCATTCCAACCACGAGAGATCTGGATGCAATGGGGAAAAGAGGAGGAAAGCCGACTATTTATAGGGCATCTTCTTCACCCCGCGGCGCGCCTTATCCATGACACCGACCCACTCCCTCATTCACTCAGGGCACACTAAAAACGCCCTCCCGATAAGCCGATCCTCGGATCTTGCGCGATTGCCGATAGACACAGTGCCGTTCTAAAGGAAGCTACAGGATCCGATATAAGCTAGCATCTATCTACAGCAAAGAGCGCGGGCGAACCTCTTGAAGAACCCTTTCAAAGTACTGGGTCAAACCGGCCACGTCTTCGATCTCTCCCATCCATCCGATGTACTGATCCGGTCGCAGGGCGACGATGGCCCCTCTCGACTTGTCCACCCCCCAAACCTCATACGCGTTGCCGACACACTGAGGCTCCCAAAAGCATTTGCTGTCGCTCCACACCTTACTATAATCCCAGCCCTGCTCCTCGTCGAACTGATGCACGGCCGGAGGGAAATCGCTCAGTTCGACCTCCAACCATGGCGCTGTATGGATGGCCTTGACCTCGATGATCGAGTCGAGCTTACTTTTGGGCGGCGTGAAGCGCATGAGAAGCTCCGTCAGCTTCTCGCCCAGAGACGAAACGCGATTCTTCTGGTCCTTCAGCCGCATATCGCCGGCCAGAATCAGGATCCGAAAGCGACCGTCACTCTCCAGGAGGCGCGTGGTCCAGCTCGGTCGACCACCGGCCTGGTTCCTCACAATGGCCGGGAGGAATCTCTCTCCCGCCACCAGGTGCTTGGCCATTGCTGTGCTGCCCTTGTGTACCAAACAGCTTTTCCCGTAGAACGAGGCGTGTCCCTCCGTGAAGAGTTCCGTTTCGCGGAAAAGACTGGACATGGCCGCCGAATTATCCTCGGGGGCCGAAGATGTATCGACTGCCTTCTGCTTCTGCTCCTCTTGTAAGAAGAAAGCAGACCATCTGCGATCAAAATCAATGAGCATTTTGGCGAGCTGATGACGCTCGGACGCGTAGGTGTCGAGAATGGAGGGATGCGCCACTCCGCGCACGGCCAGGGCTACTTTCCATCCGAGATTGAAGCCGTCCTGGAAACTCACGTTCATTCCCAGTCCGACTTTCGGGGAGTGGGTGTGCACTGCGTCTCCGGCCAAGTATACGCGGCCCTTGTTGACCGACTGTGCCAATCTCCGACCGACCTATTCAACCATGTCAGACATCAGTCACCCGCATAAGGATAGGGGCGATCACGTACTTGATATACGGTCCACCAGTGACATATCTTGAAGTCAAAGGAGAATGGCGAGAGGATCTTCTTCACTCTATTACGGAGCGTGTCCAATGTCACGGCCGAGCGATCGAATGTGGCCGAAACCTCGTCTTCTTGCAGCGGGACATACAAGCGCACAACGTTCCCTTCACGAGGAATGATGAGTAGATGTCCATTCCGGCTGTCCAGCGACGTTGTGCGTCGGATGTCAGCTGTGGCTAGAAGTCAGTCGACATGCTTTTCAGAGCGAAAGGATGAACTGACGGAAGTCGGTAATAGGGACCATGTCCACCACACCCCTGGTATATACAGGTTAACCACCAGTTAAGGATTATGGTTCAGGGGGACTACCATATGTGGTCTGTGTTCGATCCCTCAAAGGGAATGTTCAACTGTTTTCTCGTCCAGCTATGGGCCCCGTCACAGCCGATGAGGTATTTGGCCCGGACTGTCTCAACCGTCCCGACCGGGTGTTTGCGTTTCTGGATTAGATCTTGCTGGTCGTCCCGCGCTGCAGGGACTTTAGAGATACCAGGATGTGAGAATGGCGTTGCTTCCTCTTCACTAAGTGTGCGCAACTTGACCGTGATGGGGTATTTCTGGCCGTGATCCTCAGGACTCTGATCATAGCTCAAGGACTCTGCGACGACACCCCTTTCTACTTCGAGATCGGATGAATCCTTAATGGCATCGAGAATGAATCTCTCGACGCGCCCCTGTGACAACATGGCCATCTTATACGGCGAAGCCGTCCCGCTGGAAAATCCTGTGTTTCCTGCGCGTTTCAGTTCCCCTTTGTCGTTTGGTCTCTATCGTACTTTTCAGTTGACAATTCCCTGTACATGGCCGGTCAACTCACCCAGTACATGAGCTCCGCCGAGTGGTCGCCTTCCTGCATGACGCGATGCGCAATTCCCATACTATCGAACAGCTCAATGGTTCGGCTCCTCAGCCCGTCTGCGTGCCCTCTCAATATTTTGGTGTCCCGTTTGTCGACGACACGAGCATTAATACCGCATCGCGCCATCCAGTAAGCGACGGCCAGTCCAGCCGGACCAGCACCGACAATGAGCCTACATCGGTCAGCAGGAGCAGACGAGGTGGAACGTAGCATTTACACATCAGTATAAGATTCCGCGGAAGCCGCCATCGTGGGAAAGAATAAGAAAGATGGAGAGAACAGGCAAGTCGGAGAATATGGAAACGAGGATCAAGCCTATCCAAGGAGAACCCCCAAAGCCTGACAGGACAGGCTGCAGCGAGCGCTATTTAATGATTCTTGCCGTGCTGACTGCACCGCCGTCCAACGTCCACGTCTCCAACCCACTTACGCATTGTTGCTGGCGGCATGGCCAATGGGAAGTTGCGAGCTAGTTACTGTACAATTTCGCAGCTCACCCCGGACAGGTTGGAGTGCTGGAGTGGATCCTTGATCCCTGTCTGGCATTGGCTCGCAGACGTCTCAGAGTCTGTGCCACGGCCTTCCCCACAGTAAGCTACCTAGCCGATATCACCCTGAGTGTCAGCGCTGTGGCGGGCTGGGCAATATGGCAACAAAGGCTGAGCTCCGAGGGCTCTCCAGATCCCGGCCAGGCTTTCGGGGACTCGGGCATAATACAGCACATTTAACACTTCTCGTGGCATCTGCGGGCTTGGATTGCCTTCCGACGACCGCCGAACGAGCATGGCAGCCAATGGAACTGGCGAGGAGGATGTGGTTTGCTCGGGTAGTGTGAGCCTTATGGGGGGATGATACAAAGCATTTCTGGGATCTTCGACCATCCAAGAATTCAGTGGACTCGTTTACGGCAGTGGACCACTCGCTGGTACTGGTGGATGATGTTGATCCAAGAGAAGTGATTCCAAGTCGTCATCTCTTTTCGGGATTAAAGCCAAGTGATACACTTGAAGACACTCGCTGACACTTCAGATGGGAGGCCGTCATTACGATATTTTACTCCACTGAAGGCGCTCTACAATCTAGCCAGGAAGTAAGAATACTTTCTAAGGGCATATGACCTTGTCATAATATGCAGTATCAACACACACTTATCTTTGTGTACGGCACCTCTTAAGTCGAGTTGTTTTGTTTACACATCTCAACGTGACAGGGGACCCCTATATCCGGATCTGTCCATCACATGTCTTCGAATGGGTATGCTCGATACTCTCCTTATCAGAGCCCCACCTGAATGATCTTCAAGATTATGCCACAGATTGTCAACTTCTCCCAGGCTTCGAGATTCCAGGCTCAGCGGCAAGGTCAATCTCACTGTCTATGCCTGCATCTGTCATAATGCCTTCCGCATGCACTCCAGACCATGTGCTAGCATTCCTTGTATGCAGGTACGCAGTCTATCATATCCAGCCACTGGCCCGTTCACCAATCATTCTACTTTCCTGCCTCCAATTGTACTGCATCTGGAATGCCAGGGCTCATGGCAGATGACAACCACCACAGTCTATGGAGATCGATCCAGAATCCAGCTCACTGGAATGTAGATCCGTCCAGCCACAACTTATACAGCAGTTTTTCCGCGCGGACCGCGACCTCTGGAATGCGAGCCACCAGCGTCGTGGCTCTGGCCATCCACCCTCAGGAATGCCCGCCACTCCGAGCCACATAGCTGGGGGATTTCTGCTGTATAATGGGGAGGCTGGTCATTGAGATTGAAGATATAAAATGGTCGATGAGTTGGGGTCAATTCATCTCATCATCAGCTTCAGCATCAGCATCTCTCTGGTCTATCAGTCCTCTATCAGACAATTCAAACCAGCTACACTGCCTCTATCAGTCTCTGTCTACCAATCTCAGTCTACCATTTGATCATTTGATCCATCAATATCGGTTTACCCATCTCATATCTGAGCCAACAAAGCCACCTTTCAAACCCATTCAAACGCAATCAAAACACCATCACAATGCGTTCCAACGTAAGCTTCTCCCCCATCCCCCCAATCCATCCATCCATCCATCCAAACCCAACCAACTAACACACCCCAGATCCTCTCCCCAGTCTTCCTCCTCACCCTCCTCTCCGCATCAACCACAACCACCACCGCCTCCCGAACCGCCCGCATCTACCCAACCTACCAATCCTCCTGCTCTCCCTCCACCTCATCCACCACCACCACCTCTTCCTCGACAACCACAACCACCAACCCAGAACACACCCACACCACCGAACACAAATTCTACAAGATCACCGCGCGCACCCCCAACCACTCGCCCTACCACGACATCCACCCGGGAACCTGCCAATCCATCCCCCTGCACCACACCCAAGCCTACCCGCCCACACACATCTCCTTCTCCACCCAGCTGCTGGGCGACGACCCAAGCGACGACTCGAGCAACAACGCCCCCTCCCGTTGCAACGTCACCCTGCATGAGCGGCCGGGGTGCGTGGATCGGCCGCTTTTCGTGAGCCCCGTGCACTCGACCACCTCGCAGGAGTGTGTGCCGAGGACTCACGGACCGAACTCGGCAGTGGATGATGACGGTGTTTGGGCAATGATGGAGTGTGAGGATGATGGTCATGACCAGGGTAGTGAGGATGAGAGTGTTCCGTCGCCGTTTGGAAAACCTCATGATGGGGATGACGATGACGATGACGACGATGATGACTTCCCTACTCCATTCAGCAAGCCTCACAACAACGATGACGATGATGAGGATGAGGACGACTCTCCTTCATTCGGATCTCACAATCACGATCACGACGATGGTCACGATCATGATCAAGACCAGGACGACGATGAGAGCGACGGTGACAACAACAACAACACCACCAACGATGACAACAACGACGATGGAGACAACGAAGATGAAGATGATGACGAAGACAAAAACATCCAAAACACCCCCAAGACCCCATTCCCCAAGATTCCCAGCCTCTTCCACGGCTCGCTCCTGAACTCCACCTCCGGAGTCAACGCGACACAGGGCATCAATGCCACCACGGCGTCGGCGTGGCGGTTGGCTTTCCGGCGGGGAAGCCGCAAGGCGAGGGGCATGTGGATGAACTAGACTGACTACAATTGTTCTGTTGTTTTAGCTTATGTTGCAGCTTCTGTTTCTGTTTCTGTTTTTGCTTTGCTTGTTTGCTTGTGTGTGGTTGCATTACTGTCTTGTCTTGTTATTGTGCGTGCATGCATAGCGGTGCGGGTGTTTTTGTTTTATTATTGTTATTATTAGATTGCGTGATTTGGCATAGACTTGGACTTGGACTTGGGTTTAATTAGACTAATACTGAAGATTATTCAAGAAATTATTCAAGATAAGCTGTTCAAAAAAAAAACATCCGACTGTTTCTTAAGAAGGTTAAGTAGAGAGGAAAGATAGATAAATAAATATAACTAGTAATCAACGAAACGGCTTTGGTATTACACTCTTGACAGCAATCCATACGAGCTGACATAGAATAAACTAAAATACTATATGATACAAGAAGTAGTCATGGAAAAAGGACACGGACAGCGACAACCCCCAAGTTGATACTGCAAATAAATGCAAACACACATTATTCAGTAACTCACTACTCGCTCACCCAATCACCCACCACCCAACTACCGCACCTAAAACCCAAAGCTATCAAGCAACGAGTTCGCATCCGGCTCATGAAACATTGTCGGCGGGGGCTTCGGCTTCGGCTTCTGCGTCTGTGTCTGTGTCTGTGTCTGTGTCGACGCCGCCGGCGGCTGGATCTTCTGCGCCAGAGTAAGATTATCCCTAACTGGCAGATCCGCAACGACGAGACTGCTTCTCCGACGGAGCATCTTGCGGTAATCCAGCTCGTGGTCTTGCAGGTCCAGTGGGCGGTCCTGGCCCTTGGGGGGCTGGGGGGCGAGGAATTCCCAGTGGCGGACCAGGTCCAGGGCGAGCAGGTCGCAGCCCATGCGGTCGTAGAGACGCGCGTTGCGGATGATGAAGTTCCACTCGGACTGGGCGGAGACTTTCGAGGCGCCTTTGATGGTCTGTAGGGTCTTTTCGCGGAGTTGTTTGTAGAGGACGACCAGGGCAGGGTCGTTGGAGAGGTAGGATTTGGCTTGCAGGGGGATCATCCCTGGGCTGCCGGGGGAGGCGGGGGTTTCGGGGATGAGCGACTCGACGGGGGACTGTAGGTTTGGTTAGTGTGTGGGTGGTGGTGGTGGTGGTGAGGTGGTTTCAGGGGAAGGCTCACGATTAGTGACCGGACGGCCATGCCACGACGACCCAGCATCCAGAATGCCCAGGAGGCCATCCAGCGGTTTCCGTCTGAGGCGGCCTCTGGGAGGACCCTCTCTTCGAGGATCTCCTTCAGGACAGGGCCGTCATCTCCTTCGTACGCGCGGGTGATTGCGATGGCGAGTTGGAGATCGCCGACTTGGTTGATGCAGACGAGGGCGGCATCGCGGAGGTGGCCTGCAAGAAGGAAGAAAGTGGCGGCGTATTCTAGATTGATTAGCTATGTATGCACTCGTAGTCATCGGGGCAGTGACGTACCGAATCTTCGCTTCCCAAGCAAGGCGTAGGCGTTCTTCAACGCCGCCGTCTTCCATCGCTCCTCCTGGAAGTCGTTGGAGAGCAGGCGTTGCGTCGCGTTTTGCTCGCGGTGCCAATGGGCCATCCGCCAGAGGCCTTGGAGAACGTTCTTCTTCTTGAGGGCAAGGTAGTATAGCGAGCAGTCGATCGGGTTTCTTTCTTCTGTGCTGGTATATTCGTTGCGAGCAACCACCTCCAGTTGGGCTCGCTGTTGCCCGTTAGCATATGGCCAACACAAGGTATATATATATATATATTCACTTACCACTGCAGCAGGGTTCGACAACCACATAAATATCCCGCTCTCCCGAGCCGACTTCCACGTCATTTTGCCGCCAAACTGTCGTGACACGAGGTCGACCAGGATATCCTGGCTCCCACTGTAAAATGCCCAGACAATCTCTCGCCAGGAAACCCGATCTTTGTTCGCCACGCCCTGCGACCTGCGCAGCATGTGCTGTCGGAAAAAGAGAAGGTAGCGGGCCGCGTTGTCGTCCATCGAGCGTCGGTGTTTTTCAACTGTAGCAACACATTCGATCGTGTCGACAAGACGGAACTGCTCCTGGCTGGAAAGCTGCGGTAAGGCAAAGCGTGCCAGGTTTTCATTCAGGATCAAAGCCGTGTTCTCGTCCACTACCAGAGACTCATCCTCTATTGAAATATCCGCATAGGAGGAATTCATCTCCTTGGACGTGGCTTTCTGCGGCGTCTTCGGCTGTTAGCTACATATCCTGACATCTGCCGTGAATACTTACATCATGTTCCACCCAGAAGTCCTCCACCGGCATATCCAGGAAACCATCGAGGTCGTCCCCGTCTGTGTGGAATTTGAGTTTGCGGTGGAGGTTCATGAGCACCGAGTGCACCAGATTGGTTTTTCCGCTCAGGATACACTGCGCCAGAAACTGGGGATGGAAAACGGGCAGCGGCCCGTTCAGCCTGCTGACGACCTCAAAGAGATCCACCGTAGACGAGCCACGCGCTGGTATACGTAGCTGAGATACCAGGTGATCAGCAGTGTCGATTTCATTGCCATATACAAAAAGTTGGTTTCCAGCCCCAATGGCGAGGCAGCCATTGCTAAGCCAACAGGAGTCCCCGATGGGATGAGGCGTGAGATCGCGAATCCAGATCTCGCGGATCTGCGTCCACGACGGGCGGGAGTCAAGGTAGTCGTATCGAAGTTGAGACAGGAGTATCACTTTGTGGGGAAATCCAACGGCCAGAATGGACTGCATATCTGGTGTGGACGTCCAGTCAAGGTCGCGGATGATGTCTCCCTGCGAGAAATGCTCCTCAAACTCCAGCTGTGCATCGTTCATATCCCAGATCGTCAAGTGCGTCCGGTCTTCATCCACGAGGGCGGCTTTCTTGATGGAGCTCCCACTGGCAAGGGATGGGTTCGCAATGCCCGTCTCGGCCGTCGACGTCAAGAGCCACTCAACGCGGCTATGGACCTTATCGATCTTGGCCGTCCACGTCCGGACAATGCCAGTCTTGGTGTAGGACAGCGCTATATCCGGCGAAAAGAGGTCAAAGAACCCAGACATCTCGGATTTACGGCCTGCTGGGTCGACGGGCAGGATGTAAGCCATATCCTCATCCAGCCCTAGATGGAAATCACAGAATTTCCGAAGCTGGCATTGAGCCCCATCTCGCTTCCCGTTTGCTTGCTCTGCAGTCGGCAGTCGAAACTCCCAGACTATCCCATCCATGCCAGCCGCGATAGTAGCTATATACACGACCCCGTTCTTTTCCGCAGTCGGAATGGGCAACACGCAGAGGGGCTTTCCAGATAATTTGAACGTCGTAGACGCAAGCTTTTTTGCATGGAACGGACGAATATCCCAAAAGGAGATCCCATTGTGGTGAAGATTGACCAGAAAATCCCCGTCTTCGAGCACACAGCTGCGATGGATGTGTTCGTCCGAAAGCAGCGTGCTCTGCCGAAGGAGCGCCGTGCCAGTATCTCGCCGCTTCTGCCTCCAGATCAACGCCTTGCTGTCATCCGTGCGCGAGGCCAGTGTATGACCGATCGCATTTCGAACAATTTTCTTGATGGGCCCGTTGTGTCCGGTCCATGACGCCTTCAGGGAAATTCGGTTTTTGCGCGGGGCTGGATCGAATAGAACATCCACCGGGGACTCGTACCATTCGATCCGACCGTCAAAGTGATGGACTAGAACACTGATGGAGTCGCCTGGCTCTGCGCCCTGAAACGCACACAGCTGCGCATAGTCCTCCTCCACGGTGATTCCCGGCATCAGCGAGAAATTCAAGCCTTCCACATGCAGGATGTTGAACATATTCAACTCCGATTTGGCCTTGGATCCGACATCCTCCAACGCCCAGGCCGACATATGTCCCTGCCCGTCTAGCACCACACAGACTTCCGGACTCTTGTTCGCAACCTCAATGATATGCTCCAGCGCGTGGTTGCCTTTGTTCCCGGTGCCTCTCTGCACGGCCCGCTCCGTCGCGACGCAAAAGTCCCGGCTATCGACTATAAATCCATACCGACGGGTGATCTCATTCTCCTCCGTGTGTCTCGGCTGAACCGACGCAGCCATATCGATCTGCGCCCACAGCTGCAGGGCGCTCGGCGCGTGGTGGTCGATGGTCGCCCACACCCGGATCTTGTTGTCCGCGCACAACGTATAGAAAACATTCTCCATCGACTGTTCCCGATGGTATGGTCTGCGCCAGTGAATCCCCGTCACAACGGTCGGATGGGAAAGATACGACACCTCGAACCGGATGTCGGTGCCGAACGCGAGTCGCCGCCAGACTTTGGCCATGCGATCGTAGTGCCCCGTGGTGACCAAAATCGTCGCATCCGGCGAGAATTGCGCAAACTTGACCGGAGCGGCGACCTTCTGCTTCCACACCTGGCGCGGCGTATCGTTCAGGAACCAGAGGGTGAGGTGTGAATTGCCCAGGAGCAGCTCCTCCGAGGAGCCCCACGACAGGGTGTGGATCGTCTCGTCGTCATCTTCGCTGCGAAATGTTTGCACTAGAGACCACTACCCAGACCCCATCAGTATATCATCTCCCCAACAACCCCCTGAGCTTGCGGTGCCCATCTGCCATAGGGAACAGACCTTCAATGTCTCATGCTGGATTCCGTACGGCTGGTATATGAACACGTCGGGACCTCCGCAGACAGCAATCTTGCCCGAGACCTCATCGATTGTGACCGCCTCCAGGGCTTCGGTGTCGTCGACGTAGATGGTTTGGAGGAGCTGGTGCGGACCGCCGAGGACAACCAGTGCATGGCCGGATATGTACGCCTGTGGAACGGTCGCGGGGAACGCAGTTAGCCTGGCTGGAGATATAAGCTCGCATGGAGCTGCAGGAGGGCCCAGGAATACTTACAACGATGCGAATCCCCTCCCACAGCGCAGTGCTGAAGGATTGGAGCTTCGTCGGGGGTCTCCCCGGCAGTACCGCTCGCATCGGGGCGGAGATGGGGTAGGTGGGACGCTTGATGCGTTCGCGATGGCGTTACACCATTGCCCGAGGGAGCGGACGGGGAGGGTTTTAGACCAAGGACGGGGTGGAGGGAGAGAAGGGGGCTTGCGACACGAATACGTGGCAAGAGTCGCAGGTGGACAGGAAGCTGGAGGAGGGGAAGATGGGGGAAGATCGGTTGGAGACGTTCGATTCCAACGTTACGCTGTACCGTTCCGCGTGGTCTTCCGCCTTCCCCGCCGCCCGTTCATATTGGCTGGTCCACTACCTCCGCCTCCGTCTTCGGACAGCCGAACTATACAACTTACAACTTACAACTTACAACTTACAACTCACAACTCACAACTCCCCACTTATATTCTAGGCTGATCAGATCTATCAACAGCTTGAACCCACCGGAACAGCTCGTCTTCCTCCAGTCTTGCCAACACCTCCGATGGAAATGCCATGCGCACCTCCCACGGGACATCGGGCCCTCGCCCCTTCGCAGGCTTGATCGCACACTGGCCATGGAGCACCGACTCAAGGACCTCCACATCAACCACTCGCCCCAACGTGGGCCCAAAATCGAGCCCATAGAGCGGGAGCTTCCTCAGGCTGGAGACAGATACATCCACCGGAGTTAGGGTGCAAGAATCCCAGTCGGTGGTCGAATGCATACGAGCTAAGATGCCACTCACAAAGTCGTGGGCAACCGATTGTTTCGTGACAGTTGCCATGGATGCCAGGCGACGGAGACAGCGCCCGGTCTCTGGACTGACTTCCGGCCTTCCGTTTACCAAAATGATGTCGCGGTTCCCTAACCCACAGTCCTCAATGGTGCAGTGGGATATCCCAGTTCCGATTGCGTTTCCCATGTAAGTTAATGGAAGAGGCGGTTGGAGGGCCCTGCGACATTCCACGTATCGCATCAACGACGATGTCTGCAGCCCTGCGGAACTGACAGACTCGGATGCCTTGTGGCGCGCTCGCGTTGCGCATAACCAGATGAGGGTAGTAACCACGTCGTCGCTGGTCAAGGGAGCATGAGCATTCGACGACGGCGACGACCCTCGGGGGCCGTCATTGCAAACACTTTCCAATGTCTCGACCCTTTTCGGATTGAACACATAATTTACTGAAATCTGACTGGGGAGGTATCGATACCCGAAGGGTCCATAAGCACCGACGTGCGCTTGGGACTGGCTTTTAACACCTGAACGGGTACTCTGCTGTATCTGCTCTCGCATCGCCTTCTGCTCTCGTGGGCTCGTTAGGAACTTGATTCTAGCGGCTTGCGGGCTGCAACAGCATCGTGCCAAACACTCGATGGCAATAGCGCAGCCAACGCCGTCCATGAGCCTGTGGTGCCACTGGACACACAATACAACACCATCTTTCATCACGCCGATCTGGAAACGTAGCCCTGGCGTGGGATATCCGGTTGGGGTCTCGTATGGAATCGGAATCAAGTCTTCATGAAGGCCCCGGACACACGACATGTGAGAGATTCGTTCGCTGTGGTGTTTCACCTTCACGAAGGGGTATTCATCTAAGAATGCTTCAGTCGGTGGGCGAACTTGCAGCACATTGGACTTGTCAGCGTGGCCAGAGACTTTGGTGACGGTTCCCGCGAGAAACGGAAACTCCGCGAAGAAGCGAGCGATACCAGCCTCGAGGATTGGAATGCATGCCGACGGCTCTTTCACCCTAAAGATCGGAAGGAGGCAAACATAGGTTGGCATCAACAGATGGTCCAACGCGGTGAGAGTATAGGGCTCGAAGGTGATCATTTTGGCAGCTTGGAGAGATCTGGCTTGTGTCCCGAGTAGCGCGATTATGTGCGAGCACCAACATCGACTAAGGTTCTAATAACGTCAACTATATATGATCTCATCTGGTGTCTTCAATGTCAGCAACCTGGGCACTGAAATTCCTAGTTGCCCAATTTGACGCTTTGCATCATAACATTCTTCAACGGCTGGGGGCGTGAAATCAGCGCCTGTCCTGGCCCATCCGTGTATATCATCCTGTATGCGGCTACTACATACCAAAGCGCTGCGAGTTACAAATTGCCTTGATTCATTCTTCCAAGGTTCGGGATCGGCATAAACGCCTCTCTTGATTGATTCGGTTACATCTTCCTTATTTCGGCTTGTGAAATGGCAGCCAGATGTATCAAATTTGGAAAAAGGGGAGAAGAGAGGAATGCTTTGTGACGTAACGGTATACCTCTTCATTGACAATCGTCATAGAAGCCTGGTCACTTAAGAGCTGGCCGGCATAAACCCACCGAGTGATGGGGTCAATCATGACAGCTGACAGCACTGCGATAGAATGCCCTCTTCTACATCTGACAAAAGGATAGCGGTGGTAGGAAATGGCGCCGGGGCCATGGGGGCAGGGCACTGTTTGCCTTTTCATCCACGGCCCATCAAGTTCACGTTTTCAAAGTCGAATCCCGACCTGGTGGCCACTCCTATACCTATACAATGAACCACGATGGTCTATCAACAGGAGTGGACCTTGGATTTATCAGCTTCAACACAGTCACCTATTTGATCCAAAACATTCGAGGGATATCGCACTACGGAGCCTGGACGGGGTTCGGACTGCATGAGGACGGGTTCACATCGTGGCGGCCAGCGCATTTGAGACAAGCTAACCCTATCTTAAGTACCGTAGTCATTCCAGAGTCCAACCAGGGTATACACCCAAGTTGTCAGTCGTAGCATACATACAAGGCTGAGATCACTCGACTATAAGGCTATCCACAAAAGGTAGTGGTAATCAATAACAATAATTTCTACCCATCCATCCATCATGTCATGACATGACATGACATGCCCTATCTAACCAGGATGAGATGAGTCTCCCCATGCCAGCCCCATCCAAATCCCAATGACATACACAATTACAATTACAATCACAATCACAATCACAATCAAGAATGTCCAACAACTCCCATTCATCATCATTAAGATAACCCAATACAACCCAACCCAGCCCCGACCCAACAAAGCATATATCCAATCCAATCCAATCCACCACCACCACCACCACCAACAACAACAACAAAAATGGTCTACAGAAGTCTGACTGACTGACCGACCTACGACGCAAACGGGTATCACCAAAGCGGCACATCCAAAAGGTCACAAACAAACAAACCAACAAAAGAAACATCAAACATCAAAAATGTACATGCGAGAGTCATATACAGTCGTGGCAGAACCTGACCATACCATACTATAAGCAGGCCATAGTATGAGATGACGGCCACGGTCACGGTCACGGTCACGGTCGTCGACCAGCCGACTTCCTCCCGTCTGTCGGCGACTCGGGCTCCTCATCGACGAACCGAACGCTCGTGCCGAGGGAACTTCCCCGTCCGGCGCGACGTCTGCTTGACGCGGTTGGGGGGAGGATGGCGCCTGCGCGCAGCAGTCGACTGGCGAAAGGGGTATACAGGGGCGTGGCCGGGGTGGTGGAGGTCTGGACCAGAGCGCGAGCTCGGGCGGCTCGTCTGGACGGGGAGGCGAGGAAGTTGGGTGTGGCGAGCGGGGTGGTCGAACGAGCTGGGGGCTCTGAATCTGCCACCTCATTGAGACTGGGTCTGAAGGACGGGGTCGCGGCTTGATACCAGGGGTCGAAGATGCGCTGCTGGCTTGGGTCGGGTGCGGAGGTTCCATCGTAGTGTTTCGTCGGACTGACGAGCGGCCCTGGAGCATCGCGAGACTCGAGCTTCAGACGGGCTTTGTCCAGCCAGTTGCGGAACATCCCGCGGGAATGCTTCCTCAGGTTGCGCTCCTTCATGGCTTCCGCTGTCTCGGCGCTGCTCTTGACCTGGAAGACTCGGAAGCTGAGTTTCCGGAGGTTGACGTTGGCTTGGACGAGAACTCGTAGGCGATTGACGCCGTCGGCCTGCTCCTCCTGCCGCTGGCACTCGACCAGGGCCTCGGCCCAGCGGACCATATGCTCGTTGACGATCTGGCGCGCGTAATGGTTATCGGCATCATCGCAGTCCTGGATCCGGTCCATCGTCTTGTCATGCCATCGACCCAGGAGCTCGAAGGAGATGCTCAGGGTTTTCTCGCGCGATATCTGCATCGCCTGCTGGTCCATGTCGGCTATATACTGAGCCCTCGAGTACCAAGATGCCAGGGCCTTGGTCGCAAGGTTGATCTTCGCCTTCCGCCGAGTCCGCGCATAGGCATCCTGTCGACGTCGTTTCACAGATTCCACGGTGGCCACGCGCCATTTCTTGGTGAATTTGGTGGCGAGGAAGTAGAACCGGGCATTCTGGGCCCAGCCCTCGATTTGGACCACGTGCTGGTGCTTAGAGCGCCAGGCCACGAGCGATTCTTCTGCCAGGCGGGGGAAGTAGAACTCGTTGGCAATGATCTCCCGTTCGCGTTGCAATGCCAGCTGGTCCCGCCACCGGTCCAGCTTCGCCCGCAGCAAGTCGTCATTCCGTTGAGATTCAAAGACCTCCGCGCGGTCGAGGAGTTGAGAGTAGGTCCCACGGACATTCGTCACAAAAGCGGAGAACACCTCGCGTTTGATCCGTTGCTCCCTGATGCGCTGCATCAGACGGTATCGTTCAGCCAGAATCCATTTATACATGGCTTCCAACTTCAGGCGTTCCTCGATTCGTGCATGGAGAGCCCGGCAGCGAAGCAAATCATTCCAGTTAGTCCAGGCGTTGCGGATAATCCTCTGTCGGTCCAATTCCCGTGCCTGTTTCAACATCTGAAGACGCCTCACCCATTGCGTGTACGCCGCTTGGAGGATATGCCGGTCCACGGTACTGGAAACGTGGGAGGCAGCCGGAGCGAGGTGAGCCTGTAGCCTCCATTCTCCAAGCATTCCCTGCAGAAGCTGCCGACGCTCTGTCGAAACAACCTGCTGCTCAACCACCACAACATCCCGGGTTCTCTGCACCCAAGCCTGCCACACCGAGGCCACGGCGATCTGCTTATTCCTGACATCAATCTCATGCATGCACTCTCGATTCGTCCGGAACTTGCGCAGCCAATACAAAAGAGAGCGTCTCTTCAAGCAATGATCGTACCATTGCGGGGCACGCTGTTCGCAAAAGCTCCAGAACCATTGCCAGTAGAATGTGTTCTTCGACCTCTCTGCCTTCTGGGCATCGAGAACAACCGCCTTCGCCTCATCCTCCTTAATCTGCCTGGTCCTTTTCACCCAGGTGATGAAGGGCCTTCGTAAGGCGAAGCGTTGGGCTTTCAATTCATTAACCGCGGTGATCTCGCGCCAAGCGTTGAAATACTTGACGCTGAGAACATGACGCCGGGCGGCCGACGTTCGTGCGATTTCTTCGGATGTGAGCTGCGCCCAGTGCGAGAACGCCTTGGTAAGGAGGTAGAGATCCCGAGCCCGTCCAGCGCGCTCTTCCAGGTGTTTGAAGAATCTCTCCGTCCGTGCCGCCTGGCGCTTATCCTGGATGATTCTATGCCACGTCTCAAACGCCTGACGCAGCAGCGTGTGTCTGTCTCGGTTGATGGCGACAGTCTCCATATTCCGATTGCTCTGTCTGCCTTGGATCGCCTTCTTCAACCACTGAGTGAGAACTCGACGGTTGATCGCTCGTTGGCGGTACATGTTGAAAGTCGAGGCATCCCGCAGCAAATCCGAAAGGGGTGGTCTATATAGCATTTCGGGGGGGAGCTCGGGCCGTTCGATGGGATTGTCGGCACCTGCCTGAGAGGACACGGACGACCGTTCGCCCTCTTCGTCGGAGCCATGCGAAGACGCCTTGGGGCGTCGAGCGCGCGAGGTTTCGGCTATCCGCTCCGAACGATCTCGGTCCACAGCAGACCGGGCATATAGTCCGTTCGGAAGAGGGTTCTCGGCCGGAGCTGGCACGTGAGCAGACGATGGATTCGCAGCTAGAAGGTCCATCCGGCTCATCAGCCGGCGGCCTACGTCAATAAACTGCGCGATCAACTGGGTTCTGTCCGGAGACTCCGAGCCTCTCGCACGCTTCGGGAAGGGCGACGGTTTCGCGAACGGATACTCGGGCTTCCCGGTCTGCAGTCGCGACATGGATGATCGCGAGCTGGGACGATTGATGAAGCTCCTCTGGGTGGGATCGTCCCCGACATCGTACATGGAGTTGAACGAGGCTCGTCTCCGCAGGGGCGTCTGGGTCTGGGGCCGCGCTGCCGTGGTGTCGTCTGGAGTCTCGCGAGCCCGTCGTCTGAGTTTGCTATCGATCGAAGGCACACTGTCGGCAAACGTCGTATCGTCATATCCAGCACTATCGTCGCCAAACTCGATGACAATGCCCATGCGCTCCAGCAAGTTCTCGAACTTCTCAAAGAGCGAATCCCCTACGGCAGCTTTGCTTCCCATCTTGAGCAAGAAGCGCATGCAGGCGTAACCTGGATCCGCGTCGACGCCATGCTCGGCGATAACCTCATCGTAGGCGTCGAACAGCACTCGGTAGGGGAGGCGGTCGACTTCGGGGTCCCGCTCGGCGCGGGTGATGACTTGGAAGAGGAGGCCGACATCTGCGTCACCACGAGACGAGGGTTAGTCGGGGGAAGGTGGCCCATGAGCGAGGACGAGGGGGGAAAGTAAGGGGCATGTGAGGCGGCCTACCTTCATCAGAAAGCGAGGGGTCTTCGTGGGACAACGCTCTTCGCTGGAGGGGAACGGGAGGCATCGAACTGTCCGCGACCTAGGGCGCGTTCTTCGCATATGGGTCATGGAGGCGGGAAACGAAATCAACCATTGCGAGGCCCACGGTTGCGAGACGAGGTCGGATCCCACAGTGCGCGATGGGGAGCGTCGAGGACAGCACGCGAAAGATCCCTGATGGACCTGCAGACCCAATGGCACGGCCGGCGACAGGTTCATTGACTTCGAGGGGCGGCGGAGAGATTGTTTTTGCTCTCGTGTCGCGCCGGCCGATGGAATGCGCGGGTCACGTGGGGGTGGTGCTTAGGTAAGCCGCGGGATTTGACCGACTAACCAACTTACTTTCCTCGGAGTATTAGAGCGAGTATCTAGTTTGTTAGTACACCTCTGACCTCGTACAAGTGTGCGATTACAATATGCCCTCCACTCGCATCAGACCCGTCGAGAAGTTCGCCAGGGCCACCGCCAAGTGCTCGACAGAGGTATGCGCCTCTGTCCCGAACCCATCTGAATCAAACCCCCCCCCCAACTGACCCACGCCCGTCCAGGCGGCCGCGTATGGCAAATGCGTGGTGGCGGACTACAATGCGGTGCAGAAGGACATGTGCGCCAAGGAGTTCCTCAGGCTCAAGGATTGCTTTCTAGTAGGGCCCCTGCCATCCACGGGCCAGAAAGCACGGCCAGCTAACATGACTCCAACCAGGCGGCCTCGAAGAAGGCTTAATGGTGGAGAGCCACCGTGACACTCGGTTTAGGCGCATGGGGGAAGGGGGGGGTTAAGCATGCATGGCGGTCCAGGGACTCACTCATTCTTTACTATTTATATTTACATACAGACAGTTCAAACCCTTGTATAATTTCATCTGGGAAAAAAAAAATAGAGAAATGCACGTCTTGGGAATTGTATGATCTAAACGACTATCATTCGCGTTCTTTTGGCTTCCGGCCGAATCGCCGTCTACAGCTTGAGCAACCGCAGCAGGAAGGTCGCCTTTTGTACTTCTTGCTCCTCCTGGATGATCATCTCCGCCTCGTCGCCCGCCGGGAGCTTGCCGTCCACCAGCACGTACTGCTCGAGCGGTCTGCGCACAACCTTCTCGATGGCCTTGGACTGCGTCTCGAACGCCTGGCCCAGACCGATGTTGTCGGGGTCGGAGAGCACGACGTACTCCATCTTCACGTCGTCCGTGGGGATCAGGCCCGCCTTCTTGCGCAGGCGCTGCAGACGGTTGATGATCTCGCGGCCCAACCCTTGCTCGGCCAACTCGGGGTACAGGTTGGCGTCCAGGATGGTCAGCAGGTCGCTGTCCGTGTTGGGCTCCATGTTCTCGGACGCCGGGTCCTCCTTGAGGCCACGCTTGACGACCAGATCGCCCTCCACAAGCTCAATGCCGTCCACGAGCATCTTCTTGTCAGCGACGAACCGCTTGACGTCATCGCTGGTCAGGGAGGGCAGGGCCTTCTTGACCTTCTGCACTTCCTTCTTCAGCTTCTTGCCGAGCGTGGGCCAGTCGGCGTTCACGCTGTACTGGACATTGTACTTGACCTCGTCGGAGGACAGGACAAGCTCCAGAATGTTCAGCTCCTCCAGGATGTAGCTCTGCAGAGACTTGACATCGTCCAGGTACTGCTGATCCTGGTGGATCACGACGAGAGTCTTCAAGGGGGTCTTCAGTCCGATGTTCCGGCGCTCACGGGAGATACGGGCCATGTCAATGACCTTCTGCATGCGCGTCACCCGGCGCTCGACGACCTCGTCAAAGAGCTCCTCCCGGACCTCAGGGAAGGACAGGAAGTGAACACTCCGGCTGTCCTCGCTGCGGAGCGCCTCGGGGATGTGGGGAAGGAGTCTCAGGTAGATGGTGTCGGTGATGAACGGTGTGAACGGAGCCAGACCTCTGACCAGAGTGTAGATAACCTCGAAGAGGGTGTTCAGGGCGTGCAGGGTGTCATCCACACCGTTCTCACCCTTCAGACGTCTGCGGTTGAATCGAATGTACCAGTTGGTGGTGTTGTCAATCAACTCAAGCAGACGGGGAACAACCGTGTACAGACGGTATCCGGCCATCTCCTCGTTCACGAACTTGAGCAGACTCTGGCAACTGGCCAAGATCCAGCGGTCCATAACGTTCGTGTTGGTGGCCTCCGCCTTCGGGTCCCAGGCGAACTCGTAGCCCTGGGTCTTCTTGAACAGGGCCGCCTGGCCCTCAAAGAACTTGTAGCTGTTCCAGAGGGGCAGGAGGACCTTGGCGATGATCTCCTTGACACCCGACTCCTTGAAGCGGAGCGGCTCCGCACGCACAACCGGGGAGTTGATCAAGTAGAGACGGAGGGCATCCGAACCATACCGGTCCATGACCAGAGACGGGTCGGGGTAGTTCTTCAGTCTCTTGGACATCTTCTTACCATCTTCCGCCAGGACAATTCCGTTGACGACACAGTTCTTGAAGGGAAGCTTGCCGAAGAGGTGAGTGCCCAGCACGGTCAGAGTGTAGAACCAACCACGCGTCTGGTCCAGACCCTCGGCAATGAAGTCACCGGGGAAGCTGTTCTCGAACTGATCCTTGTTCTCGAAGGGGTAGTGCTGAGAAGCGTAGGGCATGCTGCCCGACTCGAACCAGCAATCGAACACCTCGCTGACACGGCGGAGGACACCCTTGCCCTGCTTGCTGGGGATAGTGATGTGATCAACCTTGTCGCGGTGGAGGTCCAAGAGCTCTCCCTCGTAACCGCTGAGCTGCTTGAGCTCCTCGGCACTGCCAACAGCCACAACCTCCTTGAAGTCATCGCTGACCCACAGGGGAAGCGGGGTACCCCAGAAGCGGTTTCTCGAGATGTTCCAGTCGCGGGCGTTCTGGATCCAGCTGGAGAATCGTCTTTCCTTGACGAAGCTAGGCACCCAGTGGGAGTCATCAATGCCCTCGAGCATCTGAGGGATGATGGGCCCGATCTTGACGAACCACGCCGGCACAGCCCGGTAGATCAGGGGGGTGTCGGAACGCCAGCAGAAGGGGTAACTGTGAGTAATCTGGCTGTCGACGATCAGGCGACCAGCGGCCTTCAGGTGCTTGATGATGGCCCTGTCGGCGGCCTTGACGTGCTGACCCTCGAAATCCTTCACCTCAGCAGTGTAGCATCCATGGTCATCGACCGGGTTGGGGGGGTAGCGAGTCTCGCTGATGACGCCTCCCTCCATGGCAACTCTGTAATCCTCCTCACCGAAGGCGGGAGACTGGTGGACAATACCGGTACCATCTTCAGCGGTGACATAGTCGGCGTTCAGCACCCGGAAGCCGTAATCCTTGAACTCCTCGTAGAAGTAGTCGAAGAGAGGCTGGTACTTCCAATCTTTCATGGTAGCACCCTTGAACCGGTCAACAATCTTGAACTTGGCCTTCTTGGGGTCCTTGTACAGTGTCCGGAGCAGAGACTCGAGGAGAACGTAGTGCTTGCCCGAGGCCTCGTCGAGGATCTTGATGTATTCGAAGGTGGGGTTGACCGCGAGCGCGACGTTCGAAGGCAGGGTCCAGGGAGTGGTCGTCCACGCAAGCAGGCTGGTCTCCGGGTCGTCCAGCAGGGGGAATGTGACGACGACTGCGGGGTCCTGGACGTCCTTGTAGTTCTGCTGAGCCTCGAAGTTACTGAGAGGGGTGTTGAGGGCGGTCGAGTACGGCATCACACGGTAACCTCTGTAGACCAGGTCCTTGTCGAAGAGCTGCTTGAAAACCCACCACACCGATTCCATGAAGCCCATGTTCATGGTCTATGGCCGAGTCAGCATTTTTTTTTTCGCTAGGCGAAGAAACACGGAAGAGAGAAAACAAAGCCATTGCGGCGTGCACCCCGATATATTATGTCGGATTGTGATAGCGGGGATTAAACCCACCTTGTAGTCATTGTCGAAGTCAATCCAACGACCAAGTCTCTCGATAGTCTGGCGCCACTCGGACGCGAATCTCATGACAATGGCCCTGCACTCCTCGTTGTACTTCTCAATTCCGATCTTCTGGACAGCCTCCAGGCCCGACATGCCCAGCTTCTTGTCGATCTCGTACTCGATGGGGACACCGTGGGTATCCCAGCCAAAGCGACGCTCGACATAGTGGCCCTTCATGGACCAGTAGCGGGGAATGATATCCTTGATAGTGGAGGCCAGCAGGTGACCGTAGTGAGGCAGACCGGTCGCGAAGGGAGGGCCATCGTAGAAGGTGTAAGGTTTGCGGCCTTCGGAGAGCTCGACCTGCCTCCGGAAGGCGTCGATCTCCCTCCACCGCTGGAGGATGACCTCCTCCTCGTGGGGAAAATCAATGGACATGACGGGCAGGGGGCGAGAGGGGGTCGCCAGGGAGGGAAGTTCTGTCTGTCGAGGGGGAGCGATCTTCCAGCGAGGATGGCCGCGGGGTAAGACTAAGTAAGTAGATTTCGAGAACCGCACGGCAGAACCGCACCGTGAGTCACCCCGCCCATTACTGGGTTTTTTTACCCGTCCTGGCCAATCACAGCTCGCCCCTGCTGACCGCCTGGGCGTACTACTTTTGTCTGTTATAACTACGGTACTCTCCTTATACTGCTTACACGCCAGATGCCTCTGACTCAACCCGGAATGTCTTGGTAACCAAGAGTCGGTGACTTCATTGTGTCTATGGGGGAGGGTAGGAATATATCCAAGGGGTTCACGGATGGTTTCTACATTCGACCAGAACCATCAGTTTTGATACTCTGATACTCTGATACTCTTCAGGCTTCCTCCTCGTCGTCCTCGTCTTCATCGTCGTCGTCGTCCTCATCATCGTCATCGTCGGAGACCTCTTGTCCGAGATCCTTCAAGCGTTGCTGCGGGATACTATGAGTCATCTGCCTGATAACAGCAGGGGCAATGAACTTACCTTGTCTTGGTCTCTCTTAGCCTCGAGATCCCCGAACACGATCAGCAGATCCTCCAACTCGGATTGCGCCGACTGGCGAGCTTCTTCCTTCGCATTGACCTCGGCCTTGAGCTTCTCAAGTTCCTTGCGTAGCTCATCCAGAGCCTGGGCAGACTTGCGGGCCTCTGCCTCTGCCTTTCCTACATCGCCTTCAGCCTTGTCGGCTCGCTCCTCCAGCGTCGCATACTTGGCGGAGTATTCATCCCGGGTGGATTGTAGGTCTTGCGTAGATTTCTCTTGAGCGGTATCCAGCTCGGATTGCAGCGCCTGGTTTGTAGATTTGAGCCCAGCAACCTCCGTCTCGCGTTGCTGCTTGGCGGCATCCATGTCGGACTCCAGAGTCTGGATGGATTCCTTGAGGCTGGATACTTCCGTTGTATGCTTCGTTTTGCTCTCATCGAGTTCGGATTGGAGTTTCTCGATGGTTTCCTTCAGGTCAGAGACTTCAGTAGTACTTTGCCCTTGGTTTGTATCGAGTTGGGATTGAAGTTTCTCAATTGTTGCCTTCAGATCAGAGACTTCAGTGGTACTTTGCCCTTGGTTGGTATCAAGTTCCGCCCGAAGCTTTTCGATCGTCTTGTTGAGATCAGAGACTTCACTGGAACTTTGCCCTTGATTGGCATCAAGTTCTGCTTGAAGCTTTTCAATTTTCTTGTTGAGATCAGAGACTTCAGCGGTACTTTGCCCTTGGTTGGCAGTAAGTTCCGCCTGAAGCTTTTCGATAGTCTTGTTGAGATCAGAGACCTCGGTGGCATTCTGACCTTGGCCTGCTTCAAGTTCTGACTGAAGTTTTTCAATAGTCTTGTTCAGGTCAGAGACCTCGGTGGCATTCTGGCCCTGGCTGGCTTGAAGATCCGACTGTAGCTTTTCATTCGCCTCCTTCAGGTCAGAGACCTCGGTGGCATTCTGTTCCTGGCTTGCCTCAAGATCCGACTGTAACTTTTCGATCGTCTTGTTCAGATCAGATGCTTGGCTTGCGTTCTGTCCCTGGCTTGCCTCAAGATCCGATCGTAGTTCTTTAATCGTCTTGTTCAAGTCAGCTACTTGACTTGCATTCTGTCCCTGGCTTGCCTCAAGGTCTGATTGTAGCTTTTCAATCGTATTGTTCAAGCCAGACACTTCACTTGCATTCTGCTCTTGGCTTGCTTCAAGGTCCGACTGAAACTTTTGAATCATCTTGTTCAAGTTAGAAACCTCGGTTTCATGCCGCCCGTTGCTTGCATCAAGTTCCGATTGCAATTTCTGAATCGTGTTGGTCAACTCGGCGACCTCGGCCGCATGTTGCGTCTTGCCCGTATGCAATTCCGCCTGGAAGTTCTGGATCGTGCTGTTGAGATCCAAAACTTCAGCCACATGCTGTCCCTTGATCTTCTCGGCTTCGGACTTCAGTGCTTGAATGGTTGTCTTCAACCCAGTAGCCTCGACAGAGTACTGTTCTCTGACGCGAGCAAGATCCGACTCCAGGGACCGGATCCTCTTGTGCAGGTCAGCCACCTCGGCTTCATGGTGCTCCTTGACCCGAAGGCTCTTCCTCTCATGGTCGGCCGATGTATCTTTCAGCTGCCGGTCAATAGCTCGCAGCTGTTCGCCGTGTTGCTTCAGCACCTCGTTGTGTGAGTGTCGCTGCTGCTCCTTCAGGGCGTTCAGTTCCTGTTCGTGACTTCTCTTGAGCGATTCACATATTTGTTGCAATTTGGAGGATTCCGTTATGGTTGCGTCTCTTGTCTTGCGGTGTTCGGCCTGCTCCTGCTCGAGGTGGGACTGCAAAGCAATCAGGTCCGACTCCAGCTTCTGCGTTGCATTGCCTTTCTCTTCGATTTCAGCTCGAAGGGAATCAACGAGTTCGCGCGAGACTCCTCTTTCAACGCCATTGGTGATCACGGAGATCTCCATTTCGGGTTCCCGGTCAATTGCACGCGTCAGACGCCGGAAGTGGTCTTTGAGGAATTCGATGAATGTCCGGTCGAAATAGATCTCGGGGAGGCCCCCTTCATACTGGGCACCCACCGTCTGCGGTAGGACCTCGAAATCACGGACTAAGGGGTTCTCTCGGAATCGGGCGACCCGGTCAATGTACTGTTCTCTTCCCAGCTGTTCAATCAACAGCTTGTGCAGTGTCTTGCGGGGGATTGGTGAATCCTTGGAGGAGAACTCATATATAATTCCCAGGAGGATGGTGCAAAGACCCGATACGAGCACGTTGGCAGTTCCGCGGTGCTTGATCTCTTGCAGTAGGGTCTGAATACTGCTGCCCTCACCCAGGAAGTCGTTGACGGCATCCGGCTCCTCGAACAGCCAACCACAAAGCAACATCAGGTACCCAATGGTGATTCTCTCGTCATCTCCTCGCTGAATGCCAGTGATGAGGTTGCCTACTATCGTCTGAATGCAAGTGATGACTTCCTCGCCTTGCTCAGCATCTCCCTCGGTCACTCCCATGGCTATCGCCTTCGCTTCTGCGTTCTCGAACAACAATTGGTACATGAGGACAGACGCCATCCACGTTTGATACGGGTCGGCATTGCCTCGATCTTCGGGCGAGGTAAGCAAGACGGACAAGATATTCGGGATCTGGTCCTCCCCGCTGACATGGCCCTGAATTGCTCGTCCTAAGACATGGATCCGGATCCCCGCGTGGTTTGCAAAGAAGGCCTTGACACATTCGCAGGCGGCAAGGCGTGCGTCCAGGAGCGATATTGGGGCAGGTTCGAGGGTCAGTTTCAGCAATGCCTCGATCACGTTAATGCGCTGGAGATCCTTGGGCGTCGTGTCACCGTTGGTGTTCTGGACAGGGGTTGAGCCCCAGATGACTTCGACATCCCCAAACCTCTCCTGCAATGGCTTATTTCCGCGAATCAAGTCGGCACATGTCGCCAGTGCCTAAGTTGGTTAGCAGGACGTCGGACAGTGATGCTGGTTGTCACGTACCTTGGATGTCACGTTGACTGTAAACTTTTGGCTAAATGCTGTATTCAGCACTTGCTCCATAACACCATTGTTCCAGAACGCCATTTGGTTGGTAGGGGTGTTGATCCCGCCCTTCACCAGGAAGAGCTGGACGATGACTAGGAGACCCCAAAGGTTCTTATCACGATGCACCGGAGCCCACTGCGGGATGGGCTCCTCCGACTCCTGCTCTTGGTTGGCATCGGTGAGGAGCTTGGCTAGTCTCTTCACGCAACCCGTCTCGCGAAAGTATGACTGGTTGGATATGTTGAGCCTGAGAAGGTTGGCCAGCAAGGAGAGGCAATCTTCGACGACCTCGGAACCATGCGACAGAGCCCCCTCTGCCTCGACCAAGGAGAAAATCAGATCGAAGGCGTTTTCAAAGGCGACAAGCTTCTGGAACTCCTCGGAGGCCGGTGTCAGGGCGATAAGAAGGATTAAAGCTTCTACTCAACCCACCAATGATCAGCACAGGTTCCCCCTTGTTTATTCAGGGGTCTGGAGGGGCGTCGCCTCACGTACCGTTGCGCACTGGCTCCCGAACATCTCCCAACGCACCGACCAATCTTGGAATCCCCAGCGGCGCGATCAATATACATTCTTGGGTTCTTTCTGGTCGCGCACTCGAGATTTGGAACATCAACTGCAGCGAATACAGGCGGGAGTAGAAGTCTCGGGTGTCTAGGAGGTCCAGGAGGGCGGTAATGTTGTCTTGTCGCTGTCATCCCGTCAGCGGAGGTAGGTCTCGGACACGTAGCCTGTACGAACGAACCTGGGTGAATTCATCGGAAAGCCAGAGGGCGATCTCGTCAGAAGCTTCGGGCTAGAACGCGCACATATCAGCACCAGCTGCGGTGAGAGACACTCAAAGAGACCACCAACACTATTCTCATCAGGGGTGAACAACATCAACAGGGTCTCCAAGACCACTTTCAGGGTGTCCACATCTTCGCGGTCATTTCGGAGGCTGTTGATCAACGGCCGCAGAGCGCCCGAAGCAACAGAGGCGGGAAAGGTTTTGGCAAAGCTCCTCAGTCCCTGGATGGCTGCCCGTCGGTCTTCGAGCAGGGTTGCACTCTGCAGTCGACTGGTGAGGGTGTTAATTGTGTCCGTAGCCGTTTGTTTGGCCGGCGCCTGCGACTCGAGGATTCGGAACATCGCAAGTGGTAGCTCGTAGTTTCATGGTCACCGCCGGCCGGGGGCGTAGCAAGTGATAGGCATTGGACGACTGGAGGGGGACGGGGTAGAGAGCCTCAACCAGTGAGTTGTTCAGCTGTTCTAGGCAGTCTCCGCAGCTGCAGCGGCTGCAATTGGGGGGGGGAAGTGACTGGAGTGGTGATAGTGGGACTCGGAAGTAGCCAAATAAGCCGCAACAAAGTAGCACTAGTAGGACAGTAAGAGTCCCGCTAGCTTGGCCGGAACCGCGACAAGAGAAGCGCCGAGATCTCGGATTTCCTGGTCGGCCGCCGGCCATTCTGAGTAGTCAGTCACTCGGCTTGCGATCGCAGAGCAGAGACTTCAAGCCTCCCTTATCGCCCTGCCACTTTTTGCCCGGGCCTTTGTCACTCGCGCCCTCTCCTTTCGCCTGGAAAGGAGCTTTACATTCGGAGACTCCCGTCAATTCCGTCACAGGGATCTCGTTCTGGTCGTCGAACAGGCACCGCTTGCCTGCAGTCACTCGGAGGTTGAAATAGCCGATGGGGCGCATCGACGAAACGGCTTAAACTCACAGACCTACGTACATCCATCCATCCCGACCTAATTCGCCCTCGTCTCCGCATTCCCTCGCAATCATGGGTGTCCCAGCGCTGTTCCGATGGCTCTCCAACAAGTACCCCAAGATCATCGCGCCCGTCATCGAGGAGCAGCCTTATGAGGTCAACGGCGAGGAGGTCCCCGTCGACACCACTCGTCCCAACCCCAATGGAGATGAGATGGACAACCTGTACCTGGACATGAACGGTATCGTTCATCCTTGTACGCATCCGGAGGGAAAGCCCCCGCCGGCGAACGAGCAGGAGATGATGATCGAGATCTTCAAGTACACCGACCGCGTGGTGAACATGGTCCGCCCCAGGAAGCTGTTGATGATTGCTGTCGGTATGTTGAACCTGTCGCGCTGGGTTTCTGATGATATTGTTTGACTGACTGGTATGGTTTCCCTTTTCTAGATGGTGTCGCGCCCCGAGCCAAGATGAACCAGCAGCGAGCCCGTCGTTTCCGCTCGGCCCAGGAGGCCAAGGAGGCGGATGAGAAGAAAGAAGAGTTCCGCAAGATGCTCGCCAAGCAGAACGGCAGCAAGGCAGATGCGGCCCTCCACGAGGAGGTCATCGAGAAGACTTGGGATAGTAACGTCATCACACCGGGAACGCCGTTCATGGATATTCTGGCTGCCTCATTGCGCTACTGGATTGCCTACAAGCTGAACACCGATCCGGCATGGGAGAAGGTGAGACCCCATGCTCCCCTCGTCGAGGTGCTGTTACTGACATATACATAGCTGAAAATCATTATTTCCGATGCGACCGTCCCCGGTGAAGGAGAACACAAGATCATGGAGTTCGTTCGGTCGCAGCGGTCGGACCCAGAGCACGACCCCAACACCCGCCACGTTATCTACGGTCTGGATGCCGACTTGATCATGTTGGGGCTTGGAACCCATGAGCCGTATTTCCGGGTGTTGCGTGAGGACGTGTTTTTCCAGGAGTCGAAGCCTCGGACATGTCGGCTGTGTGGTCAACCGGGCCACAAGGCAGAGGAATGCAGAGGCCAGGCCAAGGAGAAAAACGGAGAGTTTGACGAGAAGGGCAAGGGCACCGCACTGAAGCCGTTCATCTGGCTCAATGTCTCCATTCTCCGCGAATATCTCGCAGCCGAATTGTACGTCCCGCAACAGCCATTCCCCTTCGACTTGGAACGGGCTCTGGACGACTGGGTCTTCATGTGCTTTTTCGTCGGAAACGATTTCCTTCCGCACTTGCCGTCCCTGGACATCCGTGAAAACGGCATCGACACGCTGATTGCCATCTGGCGCGATAACATCCCGGTCATGGGCGGGTATCTGACCCAGGATGGTCACGTCGACCTCAAGCGGGCTCAGCTCATTCTCCAGGGGCTCGCGAAGCAGGAAGATGCTATCTTCCGCCGTCGGAGACAGGGCGAGGAAAGAAGGGCGGCGAACGAGAAGCGGCGCAAGCAGGAAGCACAGGCGCGGAGCGACGAGCATGCCCGGAAGCGGAGACGAAGCTCCCCTAATTACGAGTCCCACGATCCCCTGTCCAACCCGACCCCCAAGGCTCGCGGTGGCGCCGACGCGGCCCCTCCCAGTGCAGTAGAGCTGATTACTCCTGCCCGCGGAGTACTGACACGCGAGGAGAGACAACTGACTCACAATATGGTGACCAACCGGGGAGCCGTCTACAAGGCTAACCAGGCCAACAAGAGCGCCGCTGCTATCCTGAAGAGCAAGCTCATGAAGGGCTCGCAGGATGAGGAACCCACTGAGAACACGGGCGAGTCCGGTTCCGAGGCTCCCGAAGCTGCCGACGACAAGGCAGAAGAGCAGACTTCCCCCTCAGTCCTGGGCAAGAGAAAGGCTGGCGCCGAAGAAGAGGCCCCTGCCACTCCGAGTAAGCCGGCCCCTAACCAGGGTTCGAACGATGAACTGCCCCCAGACACCGTCCGCCTCTGGGAGGAGGGATATGCGGATCGATACTACGAGCAAAAGTTCGGTGTTGATCCTCAAGACAAGGAGTTCCGCCACAAGGTCGCTCGGGCGTATGCGGAGGGCCTGGCGTGGGTGTTGCTCTACTATTTCCAGGGATGTCCCTCGTGGACCTGGTACTACCCCTACCACTACGCGCCCTTCGCGGCCGACTTCGTGGACATTGCCGATATGGAGTTGACCTTCGAAAAGGGCACCCCGTTCCGGCCCTTCGAGCAGCTGATGGGCGTTCTTCCAGCTGCGTCCAACCACGCCATCCCCGAGGTCTTCCACCCCCTGATGAGCGAACCGGACAGCGAGATCATCGACTTCTATCCGGAAGACTTCGCCCTGGACCTGAACGGCAAGAAGTTTGCTTGGCAAGGTGTCGTGCTGCTTCCGTTCATCGACGAGAAGCGGCTGCTGGCCGCTATGGCAAAGAAGTACCCCCTACTCACTGATGACGAGAAGGCGCGGAACAGCGTGGGTCGCGAGGTGCTTTTGATTTCCGACGGCCACCCGCTATACCAGGACCTGGTGGCCAACTTCTATTCCAAGAAGCAGGGGGCTCCGAAGTACAAGATGAACGTGCGGGTGAGCGAGGGACTGGCCGGTAAGGTCGAGCTCAACGAGTCCTATATCCCCCACAGCTCCCTGAACTCGGCGCTGGAAGAATACGGCATGCCATCATTAGAGGACGATCGCTCTCTCACGTAAGTTGTCTCTCTCTGTCTTTCGTTCTTTGTCGTGGACTAACCTCCTTTTCAATAGGGTCAACTACGAAATCCCCAAGTCCACCCAGATCCACAAGTCCATGCTCCTGCGGGGAGTCAAGCACCCCACGCCAGCCCTGGACAACTCGGATATCCAAGCGGTCAAGTCCAAGGCGCAGCACTCGGGCCGGTCATTTGGCGGAGCGCCGTTCCGCGGTGGCCGCGGCGGTCGGATGAACTATGCCAACGACCGGCCCAACAACCACAACCACAACCACAACCGATCTGACCAGTCCGACCGACCCAACCCTTTCGCCGCACATCTCGACCCCAAGTTCATGCCCGCAGGGAATGCGCCCTCGGGCTGGGTGCCTCCGGCGCCTGGCTCGGGGGGCTACTCCCGGGGCCCGCCGCCTCCCCCCCGCGGAGGCATGTCCAATGCTTACCAGCGTCCCTACGGGGGAGACGCGCACGGCGCACCCCCGGCAGGGAACTACGACTACTATGGCCGGAGTCAGCAAGGGTACTACCAGCAGGGGGGATCCTACGGTGGTAGCTCGGGTAACCCGTACCGTGGACGACCCTCCAGCTATGGGGGGGCCGATCACCGCGGCGGTGGGTATAACCGCGGAGGATATCAGGGCCGGGACCACTATTCCTCCCGCAACTCTGGCGGTGGTGGAGGTGGAGGTGGATATGGACGATACTGATTTCGATGTTTCACTTGCACGGCCGTGTTAGATGGGTGTCGATCGCGCACGATCCGCTTTTTGTCTTTTCGCTTTGTTTTCGTTTTTCTTTGTATCTTTCCACACGGACCTTGGCTTTGTACTCAGGTCTGGATGGTTCCTCGTCGGCTGTCTGTATCTTACTTTCTCCGTGGCCGTGACACGGAGATTACAGCTAGGAAAAGGACCCTTGGGATGGAGTTTTACTTGGATAGGGCTGGGGACTTTTCGGCGCATGCACCTGGGAATCACCATAAAAAAAAAAGAACTCCCGAGAAAAGTGGACGATGAACCATACAATCCAATCAAGTACGTACATTACTATTACTCCATACAAAAACCTCTGTAGTTACTCTGTAGAGTCTGTAGACGAGCGCACAGTACATAGTAGAAGATCGCTGAATCGCGTCTCTCCACTCGAGAACCCGACGATCAGCTTCACGATCGCAGTCCACCGGCGGTTCGATCGGAAGAAGGGTGGATTCCCGGCAGCTGATCCTGCTGGATGTAGATGTTGGACGAGGGGATGTAACACGGGGATACTTTTAGCCCAGGACACTACGGGGTATAGAGTCCAGGGAGCACTAAGAGCAGCACTAAATGGTGTAGTGAGTTGGTGGTGGATCCGGTTTCTGCAGGTCGAAATGCCGACCGACGACATCGGAGCGGAAGGGGAAAAAGTGAGTCAACGACTCCTCCATCGCGACGGACGGTGGATCGTGCCATGCAACCAACCAACCCCCATAAAACTGCTGTTTGGGTTGTGAAGTCACTCAATATTAGCCCAGTGATCAGTAATTCCTCTCGTGTTCATCGCGTCGAGGTTTCAGCGCAGTCAGCGTTGACGGAAAGAAAGACAGAAAAAAAAAAAAAAAAAGGCTTCCCGTCCATTTACCGATTAGGGCAGGCAGCGAGTGCCTCTTGTCTTCTTCTCTCGCCCTCCCTGCGTCGCTCTCTCTCCCTCTCCCTCTCCCTCTCCCTCCCCTCCCTCCCCTCCCTCGCCGACTCCATCAAAGGAATCCTACGTGTTCACTTCGGTATGTCCTTGCCTCCAGTCCCTCCCTGTCACCCCCGTCATCCCCCGTCACCCTGTCATCCCGTCACCTCTCGACTCGATTCTCCAGCTTTCACCGCACTCGTTCCCTCCCTCTCTCATTCCTGTTCCTGGCCCGAGGTCTCGCACTGACTCACTGACTCACCAATTTCCCTCAACAGGCGGGTCGCTGCAATCGGCCCCCAATCCACCACTCTTGCGGGGAGCTTGCCATTCTGTGAGCATGAATTAGATTGGACACTGCTCTTCCCTCCCAACTTGACCACCACCTCTCCCGACTCCTCCGACCCCTCCCCCTCCGAACGATGCCCGAGCCCACCAAGATCAGTATTCTGGGCCAGGAGAGCATCGTCGCTGATTTTGGCCTCTGGCGCAACTATGTCGCCAAGGACCTGATCAGTGGCATGCCCTCCACCACCTACGTGCTCATCACTGACACGAATATCGGTTCCCTCTACACCCCGAGCTTCCAGAACTCCTTCGACGAGGCCGCCGCTACCGTTTCCCCCAAGCCCCGCCTGCTCGTCTACAATGCCGCCCCCGGTGAGGTCTCCAAGTCCCGCCAGACCAAGGCCGACATTGAGGATTGGATGCTGAGCCAGAGCCCCCCCTGTGGTCGCGACACCGTGATCGTCGCCCTGGGTGGTGGTGTCATTGGCGATCTGACCGGATTCGTCGCCTCGACTTACATGCGTGGCGTCCGCTACGTCCAGGTCCCCACGACCCTTCTCGCCATGGTGGACTCCTCGATCGGTGGAAAGACGGCCATCGATACCCCCCTGGGCAAGAACTTGATCGGCACCATCTGGCAGCCGTCGAGGATCTTCATCGACCTGGAGTTCCTCGAGACCCTTCCCGTCCGGGAGTTCATCAACGGCATGGCCGAGGTGATCAAGACTGCCGCCATCTCGAGCGAGGAGGAATTCGCGGCGCTGGAGGACAACGCCGAGACGATCCTGGCTGCCGTTCGCCGCAAGGTCGAGCCCGGCCAGCACCGCTTCGAAGGAATCGAGGACATCCTGAAGGCCAGAATTCTGGCCTCGGCCCGACACAAGGCGTTCGTCGTCTCCGCGGACGAGCGCGAGGGTGGTCTCCGCAATTTGTTGAACTGGGGACACTCCATCGGGCACGCCATTGAGGCCATTCTGACCCCGCAGGTCCTCCACGGAGAGTGCGTGGCCATTGGTATGGTCAAGGAGGCCGAATTGGCCCGTCACCTGGGTGTCTTGAAGGGTGTCGCTGTGGCCCGCATCGTCAAGTGCATTTCCGCCTATGGCCTCCCCACCACCATGAAGGATTCCCGCATTCGCAAGCTCACCGCGGGCAAGCACTGCTCCGTTGACCAGCTGCTCTTCAACATGGCGCTGGACAAGAAGAACGATGGCCCCAAGAAGAAGATCGTCCTGCTGTCGGCGATTGGCCGCACCCACGAGCCCCGCGCCAGTGTCGTCCCGAACGAGGATATCAGTGTCGTTCTTGCTCCCAGCATCGAGGTGCACCCCGGTGTCGCACCCGCGTCGACGGTGGTCTGCACTCCCCCGGGCTCCAAGAGTATCTCGAACCGTGCTCTGGTCCTGGCCGCGTTGGGTTCGGGCACTTGCCGCATCAAGAACCTGCTGCACTCCGATGACACGGAGGTCATGCTGAACGCTCTGGAGCGTCTGGGTGCCTGCACCTTCTCTTGGGAAGAGGAGGGTGAGGTGCTGGTCGTCAACGGCAAGGGAGGCGACCTTCAAGCCACCTCCACCCCTCTATACCTGGGTAACGCCGGTACGGCCTCGAGATTCCTCACCACGGTCGCGACCCTCGCCACTTCCACCAGCGTGGACTCGAACGTCCTGACGGGCAACAACCGTATGAAGCAGAGACCTATCGGCGACTTGGTCGATGCCCTGACGGCGAACGGTGCTTCGGTCGAGTACATGGAGAACAAGGGCAGTCTGCCCCTGAAGATTGCCGCCTCCGGCGGATTTGCGGGTGGCCAGATCAACCTTGCGGCCAAGGTGTCGTCCCAGTATGTGTCCTCGCTGCTCATGTGCGCCCCCTACGCCAAGGAGCCGGTCACTCTGAAGCTTGTGGGCGGAAAACCCATCTCCCAGCCGTACATTGATATGACGACGGCGATGATGAGATCCTTCGGCATTGACGTGAAGAAGTCGACCACCGAGGAGCACACCTATCACATCCCCCAGGGTCGCTATGTCAACCCGGCTGAATACGTTGTGGAGAGCGATGCCAGCTCGGCCACCTACCCTCTGGCCATTGCGGCGATCACGGGCACCACCTGCACCGTGCCCAACATCGGCTCGAAGTCTCTCCAGGGTGACGCGCGCTTTGCCGTCGAGGTCCTGCGTCCCATGGGCTGCACCGTTGAGCAGACGGATAGCTCCACCACCGTGACCGGTGCCCCGGGAGGTGTCCTGCGGCCTCTGACCAACGTCGACATGGAGCCCATGACTGACGCCTTCCTTACCGCCTCTGTGCTTGCGGCTGTCGCGCGCGGAGAGGGCTCGAACCACACGACTCGCATCTACGGAATTGCCAACCAGCGTGTGAAGGAATGCAACCGGATCAAGGCCATGAAGGACGAGCTCGCCAAGTTCGGCGTCATCTGCCGCGAGCACGATGACGGCATCGAGATCGACGGCATCGACCGCACGACTCTCCGTCAGCCCGCGGGTGGTGTTTACTGCTATGATGACCACCGTGTGGCGTTCAGTTTCAGTGTTCTGTCTCTCGTCACCCCTCAGTCGACTTTGATCCTGGAGAGGGAGTGTGTGGGCAAGACCTGGCCCGGCTGGTGGGACAGCCTGAAGCAGCTATTCTCCGTGAAGCTGGAGGGCCGCGAGCTGAAGGAGGAAGAGCTTTCTTCGCTCACTCAGGCTGAGAAGGCCAGCGCTTCCGTCTTCCTCATCGGCATGCGTGGTGCCGGAAAGACCACCAGTGGACACTGGGTCGCAAAGGTTCTGAACCGGCCCTTCATTGACCTGGACACCGAGCTGGAAAGCACAGAAGGGATGTCGATTCCGGATATCATCAAGCATAAGGGATGGCAAGGGTTCCGGGATGCCGAGCTCAACATCCTGAAGAGCACGCTCAAGGAGCGCGCAACTGGTCATGTCTTCGCCTGCGGTGGCGGCATTGTGGAAATCCCCGAGGCCAGAAAACTACTGACGGATTACCACAAGACCAAGGGCAATGTTATTCTCATCATGCGGGACATCAAGAAGGTGATGGACTTCCTGTGCTTGGACAAGACTCGTCCGGCCTACGTTGAGGACATGATGGGCGTGTGGTTGCGCCGCAAGCCGTGGTTCCAGGAGTGCAGCAACATCCAGTACTACAGCCAGACTGCCGCCTCCGGCGGCCTTGCACGCGCTTCCGAGGACTTCAAGCGCTTCCTCCACACAGTTACCGGAGAATCGGATAGTCTGAGCGTTATCAAGCGCAAGGAGCACTCCTTCTTTGTGTCCCTGACCCTACCCGACCTGCGGGTGGCCCGCGATATCCTGAAGAAGGTCTGCGTCGGTTCTGATGCGGTTGAGCTGCGCGTGGATCTTCTGGAAGACCCGTCCACGGACGGCGTGATTCCCTCGGTCGACTACGTCGCGGAGCAGGTGTCTTTCCTCCGTAGCCACATCGCCCTCCCCGTCATTTTCACCATCCGCACGAAGAGCCAGGGTGGCCGCTTCCCCGACGACGCGCACGACGAAGCGATGGAGCTCTACCGTCTTGCATTCCGGTCCGGTCTGGAGTTTGTGGACCTCGAGATCGCTTTCCCCGACGAGCTGCTGCGCAAGGTCTCGGAGAACAAGGGCTACTCCCGTATCATCGCCTCCCACCACGACCCCAAGGGCGAGCTTTCCTGGGCTAACATGTCCTGGACCAAGTACTACAACCGGGCGCTTGAGTACGGGGACGTGATCAAGCTGGTTGGTGTTGCCAAGAGCCTTGACGACAACAACTCCCTGCGCAGCTTCAAGAACTGGGCGGCCGAGGCGCATGACGTGCCTTTGATCGCCATCAACATGGGCGACAACGGCCAGCTCAGCCGCATCCTGAACGGCTTCATGACCCCCGTTTCCCACCCGGCCCTCCCGTTCAAGGCCGCTCCCGGCCAGCTCTCCACGGCGGAGATCCTCCGGGGCCTGGCCCTGATGGGCGAGCTGCGGCCCAAGCAGTTTGCGCTGTTCGGCACTCCCATCTCCCAGTCGCGGTCGCCCGCCCTCCACAACACCCTGTTCGCCCAGACGGGCCTTCCTCACCACTACGACCGCCTGGAGACGGCCAATGCCGAAGACGTGCGGGACTTCATCCGCTCGCCTGACTTCGGCGGTGCCTCGGTCACGATCCCCCTGAAGCTGGACATCATGCCGCTACTGGACGAGGTCGCGCCTGACGCGGAGATCATCGGAGCCGTGAACACGATCGTCCCGACCTGCGCCGGGAAGGGCCAGCCCACGCGGCTGGTTGGCTACAACACCGACTGGCAGGGCATGACGCTGTCGCTGCGCAACGCGGGCGTGTACGGAAACAGTGGCAACGCCAGCGCGGTGGTGGTGGGCGGTGGCGGCACGGCTCGCGCCGCCATCTACGCGCTCCACAACATGGGCTTCTCGCCGATCTACATCATCGGACGGTCCCCCGCGAAGTTGGAGAGCATGATCTCGACCTTCCCCACCAGCTACAACATCCGCATCGTGGAGTCGATCGACAGCCTGGACACAGTGCCCAAGGTGGCCATCGGCACCATTCCGGCGGACCAGCCCATCGACCCGGGCATGCGCGAGACTCTGTGCAACATGTTCGCGCGCGCCGAGGAGGCCGACGCCGACCTGGTCAAGTCCGTGGAGAAGTCGCCCCGCGTGCTCGTCGAGATGGCGTACAAGCCGTCCGTGACGACCCTGATGCAGCTGGCCAATGACGCGGGCTGGCACACCGTGCCTGGTCTGGAGGTTCTGGTCGGCCAGGGATGGTACCAGGTAAGCCTCCCAAATCACCGATGCTTCTAACGCGGAAACTAACGAAAGAATGATCTAGTTCGAACGCTGGACCGGCATCTCGCCTCTCTACGAAGACGCACGGGTATTTTATCCCCCCTCCCTCATCTTAGTCGGAAATCGGACCCAGAACCCGTGACTAACACTCCTATAGGAAGCCGTAATTGGATCGACCGACTCCGCCTAATTTCTTTTGGGGTAGGATGATGGATGGATGGGGATAGATACGATGGAGCAGCTAAAATCTTTCGGCTGATGTTACAAGCCAGTATGAGACTAGGTCGGCCTGATCAACTCGGGTTGTAGTAGATGATTTTTTTTTTCAATTCACCCTTAGGTCTGGTAGAGAGTAGTGTGTCGAGTGGGTAGAGCTAGTGTAAGCCTTGTTGCGGTTGTGGTCGTGGTGGTCGTCACATCTTCCTGATAGTTAATATCCATCAATCCAGAGACAGTCACAGCATGAGTCAGATAAGACTGGCTAGTAGTTAGTTCACTGACTAGTTCAGTATGCAGATAGTAATGGTAGGTAGGTAGTCATGACTCCAACCGATAGATAACGAACCGGCCACGTCAAGAAACCGCCCACACCAACCCATCACCACCAGATCAATATCAACCAGAGTAAGTCAATAAGTAAGCACCATCAACCTAACACACACATACACATCTACGCGTCCCATGAAGTAAAGTATCCACCCCCAATATAATACCCACCTATCTACCTACCTACTTTACCTAAAAATAACCATAACTACCCATCCATACCTACCTTACTGTACCCAGTACCCAGTACGGAGTACATACCACCTACATACCACCTACATACCACCTACCTAGGTGATATGTAGTAGGTTAGGTCGCACGAATGCAAGAATCCCTCATCGATTCGCAATCGCAATCAACAAAAAACTGGGAATGGACAACACTGCCCCCGATCCCCATTTCCATAGATTGATTGATTGCCGATCAACAGTCAGTAACTACGGAGTAGTCAGTCAGAATTTGATAATGGGTTGGTTGGTGAGGTGTGTGCGTGTGCGTGTGTGTGTGGGTGGGGGGGGTGGGTTCGATCGATCTAGACCGCGACCGACCGACCGGGCGACCCGACCGGGGCCAAATCCGCGATGTTCTAGATCGAGTCGATTCGATCGACTGACTTACTGATTGCTGGCTGGCTGGCTGGCTGGCCGCGTGAGATGTGGGTGGAATGGGGATGGGGATGGGGATCTGGACCGTCTCATCTGGTTCTTGTTTACTTACTTACTTATTATCTATTTATTTACTATCGACTAGGATGTTGGGATTGGGATTAGAGCTGCAGATGGGATGGGATCTAGATGGGTCTCTGGCAGGCTGTTTGCGCTCTGCGGGCAGAGTTATTCTGGGATTCTGGCACTTGGGTATGGTTGATGGGTGCTTAGTTGGTACACTATAGGTAGGTAGGTAGGTAGGTAGGTAGCTGAGAAGAGAAATCCCATATAGATAGATAATAGATAAATAAGTACTATCTATCTAATTTAATCTTCTAATCTTATCGCTCCTCGACACGATAATTCTTCATATACCTAGATATCTACCTACTGTTCTCCGTACGGAGTATACGATACAATCCGCGGGGTCGAATCTATTTTTATCCGTAGGACCATCTAATTTAGGACAGTAGTAGCATTTAGATAGCCTCTAGCCTCTGCTTCTGTCATGTCCGGTCTGTCAATTTGCACTTCACTAGATAATACTCACTAATTACTACTAGCAGTAGTACAGTATAGCAGGTCAACTGACAACTCGTTTAAACTAAGACTGTCTCACGCTGCGCTGCGCTGCGCCGCGCCCGAGTAAGAAGTAAGCAAGACATTGTCCGGTCGGACAAACATGCAAGTTCGCAACGGTCGCGCGTCGGTCGGTCGGTCGAGAACCTTCCACTTCCACCTTCCACCTTCCACTGTCACTGCATACTGCATACTGCATACTGTGTACATTAGCGCTGAGCTGAGGAATCTTCAGTCCTGTCCAATAGATAGTAGATAGTTCATCATCCAGCAATTCTGGTGGTTAAGTTCAATCAAAAAATGAATCCGACCCAATCAGAAACACCGCAATGCGATGGACGCCCATCCAGCATCTAGATCCCAACCCGATCAGTATGAGGCCACGAGACTACAAGACCATGAGTAGAGTAGAGTAGAGTAGAGTAGAGTATGACCTAACGACTACGAGACTTTCCGATTAACTTTAACCACACTTTCATTTTTTTACTTTCGCTTCATTTTTTTTTTTTTTTGCGTTTCTTGCGACAATCCCATTCATTATTAGGTTATAGTTATGGTGAAGTTTAAGTTGTTGAGTTCCAGTTTTCGGTTTGAGTTTCGGCGTTTTTTTTTTCTTCTTTTCTTCTGGAATGGAAGTCTGTAGACTTTGGATGGCGATGTCATGGACACGCGATCGGAAAGTATATCTATTCCTCACTGCGGGTGGTGATGTTGTTCGGGGGGGTGGAAAGTTAGTATGTACCGTGTACTATGTACCTTAGGGTGTAGATTGGTTGTTCTTGATATCCGAATATCCGATCTGATCCGATAGATAGACTGCAGACTGCAGACTGCAGACAGAGTTCGACGCACGCACGCGATGATGACTCGTGGGCTGGGCTGCTGGGCGGGCTGCTGGGCGGGCTGCTGGGCGGGCTGCTGGGCTGACCGGAGATCCCAGCCCCGAGCCAACCGAGCCTGGCAGGTAGGTAGGTAGGTTGGCAGGCAGGTAGGTAGAAACCAAGATCCATCCTCAGCTTGCTTCAGCGTGGGCGTGGGGCCTGGATGAAAAGAGAACAGTGCAGCCGCATAGCGTGTAGCCAGCCATGTACAGGGTAGATCGGTGAAAAAAATTTTCTCATTCATCTATCTAGTAAGGATATCAAGATGCATTAGTCTGATCTACTAGGTATCTGTCTAGATACATCTCCGGTAGGACCGTAGGTAACATCCCACATCTACAAAGTAAGATGGATGGATGGCTGTCTGGGCCGGCCTCCCGAGAAAACAAAGCCCACTAGCGCCGCCCCAAGAAAAACCCTGCAACTCACACACGTCTACGGACTAGATACTTACTTTAGCACTACGGCGGTAAGAACAAATCCGCGCACCAAATATAGAAGGATTCTAGAAGGGGGGATCGAAAAACTCTAATCCATGTCCAACGGAGGCCCCGACACCGACGCTAACCCCGATCGGAGCGAGGATGCAGTCTTGACGTATCACGTATCGACCATACCACCGGTACGGGGATACCACCCGACTTACCTTCATACCTGCCTAGTGTGGTAGGTTGAATACGTCCGAAACGGGGTAACCGTAGCGAATTAGTAGGTACCTACTTAATACGTAGCAGGACCCACTTTTAGGGATGAATGGATGGATGGAAAGGAAGACTGCCCGTCCATCCATGCCTTACCGCGGAGATCCCTCCAGGCTCCATGATGAACAACTGGCACACCACCAACTGGCACTACTACTCGGGTGTGGCTGTGCGGTCGGACCCCAACCAATCATCGCGCCCGCCCTATCCCACACCTGCAGGGGGAGCGAAGAATGAACGGCGGACGGCGCTAGGGGGAAACACGCATTGAAGCCATTTATGCAAGAGAAGAATTTTCCCAACCCTTCCATGCATTAGGTCCGCGCTAGTGGGGGTTGCGAGCATGTGGCAGGCAGGGAGGGTGGCTTGCGATTTGCGACTTGCGATTTGTGACTTGTGACTTGTGACTTGCGACCCGTACGGCTGCTGTATCAGGTATCTACTTGGTATCTTGCCCTGACGGTAATGTACGGAGTACATTACCCTGTACCGGTACGACTAGTAGGTACAGTAGGTACGTGCGACCGACCAACCGACCGAGGGAAGCAGACTGGTCACCGATCGGCCGTGCGAACAAAACGCAACAAGACAGAAAAAAAAAATAATAATAATAAACGAATGGATTTAAAGTGCTTACTGGGCAGATTCTGCACCAATGAAAAAATTTTTCATTCCACGGTCGTCGCATGCCCTATACCTCATCATGCAGTAAGTATGTGGTGCCTGGGGAGGAGATTGGTCCGATCGTAGACGTACACATGGTGGCTTGAGAGTATTGGGTTTACTGTTGGCTTTTTCTGTACTTCCCAGTAAACAGTTGCATCGGGTTGTTGATCTTGATCGTGCCGGCAATGCGAGTGGTGGTGATGTACTACATTACGCGAGGAAACTCTCGCTCGGATGGCCCTTTTTTTAAGTAGCGGACCATCTGTCAAATCAGGAAGAGGGCCCTTCGTGTCGGATCTCTGGCTCCCTTTCCCCCGGGGAAAGCAAGATACCCGTTCTACAGACCCGCCGGGTTCCATCGGTATTGGATACCAACGCCCAGGGCAACTGGGGGCCGGGGCAAAGCTACTTACCCTACCTAGATTCAACCACCCGAATCTTCCCTGCTAGATAGACTGAGGGAAACTCTCCTCGTAGATAGGCGCCAGGATTGGATTGGACCTCCCCGTGGCTGAAAACAGGGTATCCAGCCGGCCCGGCCAGCTGGGTCATGGGCGGCTCCGCAAGTACGAGAGAGAGGGAGAAGTCGAGTCTTGCCACCAGTTTCAGCTGTCTTGCTCCCATGTGGGTGGGCCTGCAACTGGGTCTCTGGGGTTCTTGACAGGCTCCGGGGCACTCAGCTTGGACTCATGGATGATGGACTACTGTCTAGTGGAGTCGGGATGCTCGAATCCAAGCTGTAGTGGCTTTTAGCTATCCCCAATCACATTGTCATGTCAACAAAGTTGGCCAACCCATGTGGATCGGAACCGACATGCCTATTCCCACCCATGCTGCAACGCATGTGCGAGGCGGCCACGTTCGGGGCAACTCAAATGGGGACTTTTTTTTTTTCCCAGGGTCAGAGGAAACGTGTCCGTGTCCGTGTCCCAGAGGGAGAAAAAAAAATCCTCTTCCTTGCATGTGAAGCGGCATAGACTTGCTCGTTGACTCAGGAACTGTCAACCAACCAGTCACACCACCTCATGTCACCTCATATTCTGTCGCGCATGGCGAGGTCCAGTCCAGGGCGTCTGGGGACGGGGAATCTGTTCGATATTCCCCGGGCGTATTCGTAATCGTACGACGCCTAGCCCATATTTCCTGCTATCCTACGATGCATGCTTTGACAATGACTCAGTTCCCATCCATGGGGGATGGGGCATGGACCGGGCGTGACTCCCCGATATAGGACCAAGGAACCATGGAACTGCACGAAACACAGCCTGTCATGCCACGGCCGAGGCGTCAGCTGACCCTATCACGCGTCGATAATTTGCATTTCATACGCAGAGACATCGCGGTTGCAGAATCGGACTCGGACTCGAACTGGAGTCTGCATAGTACATACACGCTTCGCTTCCTCGCATCCACGGCCGAGAACGTTCGGATCAGACGTGCCGTAGGAATCAGGCTGCTAGCGCGGGCAGGTCACGCTAGTGCTGCAGCTCGACCCAGCCAGAACGTTCAAGTTTGCAGTGGGCAGGTTCCGAGCCCGGGGGGCCGGCCTTGGCATAACTCCGAGTCTCGACCGTCCGTCCAAGGGCTGAGCATTCAGGTTCTCCGGGCTTCCAGCTTCTTAACAGCGATTCATTATCAATCATTCTGAACGGGGGTGGGGAGAATGCAGTAGTGCATGCCCGAAGCATCTGGTGATGGGGGATGGGATGAGATGGATGGGTCCGGGCAAGTCCGTCGGCGTCGCTGGCGGCCGGTCTCCGAGGGCTGGGTTTACTAATGTCTGACCTTGACCGACACTAGCCACATCACGGATGGAGCGGATGGGAGGCGCAGCCCTATGTGGCTTGTGGGGGGGAGCCCGTTCGCGTTGGCCGATCAGCACTAACTACGGAGTACTATCTGTATCTGCGCAAGACCCTGACGCATTCAGCCAGCGTAAATTAAGTACAGGTACCTAAGTACATGATCTTCGCCCCTCCCCTCCACAGTACCTTTTCTGCTTTGTCTCGCAAATCCCGCCCTCTCCGGTTGGTACATGTCACCTGTAAGGGCTTTCGATATTGCGGCCCGATGGAAAGAAGGACACACGGGGATCGGTATCTGGCACGGCATCAACTGGGGCCTTACTTAAGCGGGATTTTTGTGGCTGAGTCGCTGGAATCCGCCGTCTCATTGGTTGCCTTGGGACGGAGGGTAGAAAACAGAATCAATGCTCTGACACAGGTGGAGCGACCGATTTACTCTATCGGGCGCTTAGGTATGGGGCCCGACAGCCAAAGTTATCAGATAGATACTACGGAGTAAGTATCTAGTTACTACTGTACTACTATTCCTCACACTAGCTGAGGTATCCCTGCTAATTTTATTTTTTTATTTATTTTTTTATTTTTTTTTATTTTACTTAGCTGATGGAGGTTTGCTGCAGCTGAGCTTACTTACTACTTACAGTATACTTAGTAGAGTAAGGTAACTATCTTATGCGTAATGGTGGACCAAGCTAGGAAAACTCTTCACCCTAGGCACCTGGCAGGCATCTGCCGGAGATAGGATTGGAAATCCATCGTCGGGTCATCCGGCATGACAGATGCTCCATGAGGTGCAGAGGTGCATCCATCCTAGCGGAGGCTAGCGTGTTGTTGTCGCAGGCAGGTGTGGTGTGGGTGGGAGTACATTCGTCCGGGAGGGCAGGCCGCAGTAGGGCAGCAGGGGAACAGGGACAAGACAAAGGGGAAGAACAAAAAGAAAAAAAAATTTTAAAAAAAAAAAAAAGAAAAAGAAAAAGACGGGGCAGCCACAGGTAATACTCGGAGATGCCAGACACGACAACGCATTATTATTGGGGCAGATTGTGGCTTGTGCCAGTAGTCCAGCCCGGTGAAGACAAGAGTGAAGGGTGAAGATTGGGTCAGCCGGGGGTGGGGACGCAGGACGAGCAAAACTGCAGACTACGGGAGTCGCAGGAGCGACTTGTCCAGGTCCCCGGAGATGCAGATCGAGTCGCTGCGGTGGGTCTGTAGGTACTGTAGGTTAGCAGCAGCAGCAGTAGGGCGAAAGTTACTCCCTCGGCCGTACGGCTATGACGGAGAAGTATGGTTACCAAATACCGTACCAAGGGTTACGGACGGGGGTTGAGTCAGGATGGATCGTCGGCCGGGTGGGTGAGTGGTGAGTGGTGAGTGGGTGAGTGCCAGCCAGTATGGTCGGGAAACCCCGTCTGTACGACCGTGAACGACCGGCACACCAACGTCATGGGGGCTTCATACAAAAGAAGGGACCCTCCCCCCCTCCACCTCCACGCTTCCAATCTCAACTTCACTCTCAACACTCCCTCCAAACAATCAACTTCACACCATTGCTTGAATCAACCTTCTTCTCTCTCACTCTGGACTCTCTCTTGTCATCTCTGGCCTCCCATCAATCCATCCCCTCTCCCCCCCCCATTGCTCGCTACTATAGTAAGTTGGTCCCGTACCAATCTTCTACTTCTACTATACTTCCGCCTACGTCCTACACTCCCCTCCTTCCACCACCTACCGACCCCCCCCCCAAAAAAACCTTGAGTTGATCTGATCGTTACATCATTGGATCAGATCAAACTAACCGGTCATTCTCGAACTTTAGTCCTTCCCTACCAAGGATTGCAAATCCCTGTTCCTCATATCGTCTCGACGTTTCCAGACACTTCGACTGCCCTGTTGACCCCCCCGAACGATTCCGTTTCGTCTGTTCCCCATTGACTCATTTTCCCGGTTGAGGCACTGCTCAGAAGCCCGACGGATTCGACGTCTGGTGGTCGCCGGTACACACCTATATTAACCCTCTCGAGCCATCCTCGGTGGCAAATCGCCTACATCTCCTCGTCGGCGTCATCTCTCCCTCGCACGTCCAATCGTCGAGAAGCACATTATGTTCATGCACCCTTCGATACGTAAGGGTTTGATCACTGAACCAACTTCCGCCGCCGCCTTCCTCAACTATCAAGATCCCGTTTGCATACAGGACGATCAGCTTCTCGCCGATTACTCGCACGAGGCCGCTCTCCACTTCTTCGACCAACAACAACCCCAGCTGCAGACCCCATTCCAGTACCAACCGGATTTGCAGATCGTCTCTCCGGCCTCTTCCGCGCCCTCCTCACCCACTTCCTCCCCCGCCTCGACCATCTCCCGCCGTCCAGCCACAACGGTGCCCACTGATTACGCCTCGACCGTCTCCTTCGAGGCTCCTTCCATGACACCTTCCTCCTCCTACAACCCTTCCATCCACAGTTACCACTCCGCATCGCCGCCCTCGCACAACTACTTGCCTCAATACCCCCAACAGTCGTACTACTTCAACAGCAATCCGATGTTGGCACAACAGTCCGTCGCAAGCAACCACGGCTGGGAGGGCAACCTCCAGGTCCTGGGCCCGCGCCTCCAGAACAACATCTCGCGCATGCCTCACTTCAACAACCAGGAGCAGCTGAAAGCCTCCGCCAGCCCATCTTCCAGTCGGTCTGCACCAGCAGGCAACAACTCTTACCAGAGGGCAAACGGCCTGTCAAAGCCTCTGCCCACGCCCGCACATACGCCCGTGCAGCACTCGCTGTCCACTGCACAGTACGATGGCAATCAGGCTGATGCGGACTATGCTATGAGACAAGCTGTTATCGAGCAGCACAAGCAGCAATTTCAGCAACAGCAACAACAACAACAGCCCCATCACCAGCACCACTCCAGCGACTATTCGATGGTCTCGAGTGTGAGCCACAACTCGCCTGTGACGCCACAGACGGGCTTTGAGGACCTCGACGACGGATCGAAGACAATGGTTAATGGTGAGAACCGGTATCCTGGCGTGGAGAAGTGGATGGATGATTACTTACACTTCGATGCGTTTTCAGACTACAACAACAACAACAACAACCACAACGCCAACATGTCTATTGGCATTCCCAAGCTCAACCGCACTATCTCAGACATCTACCAGGACGAGCTCTACAACCCGGCCCTGGTGCCTACGCCGCAGGTGCCCAAGCAGGCGAACCAGCAGAATATGCTGGCACCGTCGTATCGCAATGTGATCGCCGATCGACTCCAGGCTGCCAACCAGGGCCACTTGACCGCACGGTCCCAGTCCCCTATGATGAACATGCAGCGGGATCGCTCTCCCTTCCGGCAGAACTCGCCTCTGGCGGCGGAATACCACACTGCTGGTCTCCAGCAGCCCCAGATGGCGACCAGTGCGCCCACCTCGCAGAACGGGGTGAATCTCGGACAGTCATCTCACGGAGAGTCGAACACCATGTCCCCCAAGGACGCCCTGTTGGACTTCAACGAGGGAGACGACGCCGGACTGCCCCTGTTCCCGCCCTCGTCGCAGCCAGACTTCAACCTCGGCGATGCCCTCAGCGGACTACGACGTGAGAGTTCATCTTCGTTCCAGCCGTCCCAGAATTTCACCACCATGGAGAGTTTCCCGACTCAATACACTACGCAGGGACCCACCCAGCAGTACTCCTTTGCTCAGCCGCAGCAGAGCCACCGCCAGCCGCAGCAGCAGCAGCAGCAGCAGCAACAGCAGAACAACCTTTTGCACCACACCCCCGAGTTCCCCGCCTCTCTCCCTCAGTTTGAGTCCACCGGAAGCGATATCCTCCCGTCGACGGAGATGACCTCTCCCCCGGCACAGCCGAAGATGCCCCTGCAGCCGCAGCCTATCAAGGAGGAGATCACTCGGCCGGTGAATACCTCGGCCGACAGTGGCACCTACACCTGCACGTACCACGGCTGCACGCTACGGTTCGAGAGCCCTGCCAAACTCCAGAAGCACAAGCGCGAGGCGCACCGTCAGACCACGCCAGGCGGCCACCTGGTGGGGCGGGACACTAACGCCCGCAACTCCCAGGCGGGTCCGCATAAGTGCGAGCGTATCAACCCGTCTACAGGCAAGCCGTGCAACTCGATCTTCTCGCGGCCCTACGATCTCACGCGGCACGAGGACACGATCCACAACGCCCAAAAGCTGAAGGTGCGATGTCATCTGTGTACGGAGGAGAAGACATTCTCGCGCAATGATGCGCTCACCCGGCACATGCGCGTGGTGCACCCCGAGGTCGACTGGCCCGGCAAGCAAAGGCGGAGGGGCAGGGAGTGAAGCTCGGGTGGATTTGATTACCCTTTGGTCCCACCTTCGGGTGGAGGACAGAACCCCCCCGTTCGGCTTTTCCCCAGTTGTGACAGCAAACAGCAGCATGGCGTTCCACCGTGCCGGGGGCAGCTTCAGCCTTCGTGAGTCAAGATGACGCGCGACCGCCTTTGACGTCATGGGCTAGGCCCGATCGGGCAAGGACTCGCTAACGGGCCCGGATCGCCGGAGCACGCTGCCTGTTCGGGCGCAAGGGCCTCAGGCCGTGCAGCCCGAAGCAGCGGCGATGACGTCATGGCGAGTCTTGATCGGGACTGACGTATTTGCTGGAGCGCGACTGATCGATCGGTCCAATTTCCTCCATCGCCGGATGACGTACATGTTGTCCCCCCCCCTTCTATCCCCAAAGAGCAGGTCTTCTTTGCGATTCTTTCCTTTCTTTGTCATGTCGTGCGTGCATGCCGTGGGTCTTAGATCTCCTCCTGTTTATTATTATTGTTTATTGTGCTTGTGGAATATTCGGATTTATTGTCATTGTGTCATTGGGTCATTGGGAATTCGGTTGCATCAAAAGAAGCATCATCATTACTAACTCCCCTTCCACGGCGGGGACTCGGTCTGTTTTCGAGCCAGCACGGCCTGGCGGTTACGAATCCTTTTGTTTGGTTACGCTGTACTATACTGGGACTTTACCGTGTATGATTGTTACGTTGTGATGTGTCGCACGTTTTGATATTTTTTTATCTTTTCTTTTTGGTCGGTTTGCATTGGGTTGGCATGGGTGTGGATTTGTGGCTTTCGGCGCGCAGATTGTCTGTCTGTCTGTCTACTGAGACTTATTTATTTTTTTCTTACATATGGGCTGGGCTTGTACAGTATGGAAAATGTATACATACACTGAAGATATTTGACTTATGTTTAGAGAACTGTTGATCTCGTTGGGCATTCACCTATCCATCTGTTCTATCTATCTATTCATTCATTTATTCCGCTCTCGTACCCGTAGCAACCAAACCAAACCAAACCCACTGCTACCCAACACCCGAATAGGGGCTGGGGCTGGTCCGCCGCTGAAGCTATTGCGATAGTCCCGTGTAGCTAACTAGCTATAGTAAGGTAGTCTTGACTAGACAGTGGAAGTAGACTACGTCTGTAACACTGGGACTACCACTAACAGCCAGACTCATAATTGGGCAGGAGAGCAGTCGATCTCTCTCTCTCTCTCTGTCTCTCTATTTCCATTTCCAATTCCGCTCTGAATCAATAGGCAGTAGTGGTAGGTAGGTCCCAACCCCTAGATAGTTAATAGTTAAGGCAGCAGCAGACCAGGCGGGGGGGGGGACAGCGCCCAACCCACCAACCCACCAGCCAGCCAGTCAACGAACTAATGAACGAATGAACGAACGCATACCCTTGGGGACTCTGGGGCGTTCAAATCCCGCGTATAACCATCCACTGATCCATCCACCCACTCCCCAGCCCACAATATGCAAAACGCACCTGAGACAGCAACCCCGTCGGAGTTGAGTTTCTTGACATCATCCCCACTTTGGGGGGCTGGTGTGTCTACCGTCTACCTACCTATGGGTATGATGTGCCTGGGAGAAGATGGCGCATGTGTGGTGTGGTATGGTGTAGTGTACCTGTACCTGTACCTGTACCTGTACCTGTACCTGTACCTGTACCGCTGGCTGCATGCATGCATGTATGTATGTATGTATTTATGTATGTGTGCGTATGGTGTTTCATACATATATGCCTATTTACTACCTACCTACCTACCTACCTACCTGGGTACATGGTACCTATGTACGTAGGTACTTACCTATATTGGTAGAGGTAAGTACTTAGTTACATATGAAGTACCTACATGCCAGCGACATTCCATTTTCTTCTTCGGGGTTTTACTTTATCATCCAGATTTATTTTTAAATTCTTTTTTGCTTCCTGGAAGGGATAGGGATAGGGATAGGGATAGGAATATGGTTACCTGTAGTTGTGGTGTGGCTGTGCGGAATGCAGTTTTGCTTCTTCTAATGTGCTTGGAGTGGTGATTGGTGATTGGTGTCATGGCTTGGTGTTTGATCATGATCACCGGGTGGGTAATCTCCGATTTTTTTTTTCTTTTTTGTTGGCTTGATTTGGGTATAGATACCTATTCATGCTAGGAGTACTGTGGTAGAGTAAGTTAGGTAGGTAGGTAGGTAGGTAGGTAGATAGGTACCTGACTGACTGGCTAGATAAATAGGGTATCTATCTATCTATCTGTCTATCTATCTATCTATATTCTATACAGATACAGTATGATAGACTGTGGATTTATACTGTCTATGTATTATGTATATTACACTGTCTAAATCTATATTCTATCTGCTATAGTTGGCCTTAAGGTAGTAACTAGACATCTTACTTAGTTTGTCAGATGGATAGATAGATGTACTCTGTCTATATAACCCGGGTAATAAATAGGTACACAGTACCTACACCTACAGTATCTAGCCCAGTGCCTACCAATCCATACATCCATCGCCAGATACAACCCCCCCCATATTAAAACCACAACATAGCACCAGCACGGAAATCCCCAAAAAGGCATTCCCGAATCCTGAGCATCACCATCCATCCATCCATCCATCCATCCACAAAGAGCAATCCACCTACCTATCTACCTACAACTGACGTAAATCCCATCCAAAGTACTTGAGTACTTTACCAATCCCCCTCTCATTCGTCAATGGCTCACCCCCCCCCCTTCTCAGAATGAGAAGAATCCTGGGCGTCATTCCTCACCGGACCGCGAAAACAAATTTGAACAAATGAAATCACTGCGGGGCGGCGGGACGGGTGCGTGTGGGGCCTTCCTTCCCTGTCCACTTTGTCTTTTAGGGTTAGTGTCTGCTTAGTGTCTGCATGGCGGTGGGGTGGGGATTTGAGTTCTGGATTTGATTGACTGCTGCTGACGAGAGCTTTCCTGGATTTCGATTTCCGAGTTCTGGTGCGGAGGATCTATCTAGTACTATTATGTAGTGGGCTGGGGGGGAGGGGGGAGGGGAGGGGAGGGGGAGGGGAGGGTGGATCGTACTTTGTGGTGGCTTGTGAGATGAGGTTATTCCGTACGGGGGGTTACGGGGGTGGTTTGTATGGGGTTGGGTTGGGTTGGATTGGATTGGGTGGATGTTTGGGGGGTGTATGCTGTAACTATCTATCTACTAGTTACAATCTACTATCTATGTGCCAATTGAAGGTGTATTGTGTACGTACAACTAGATTTGAAAAGATCTCGTACACTTATGGTAAGTGGTATACTACGCCGTACTAATGTCAACGTCAACGTCAATGTCAGAGCCATTTCTTATTATTATTTATTATTTATTATTGTCGGGAGTGATCCAAGGTTTGTGGGGATGCGAGTCCAATCCGTACACGGTAACAAAGTGTGTGGTCGATCTGTAGAAGGAGAATAGTTAATGGGCCGGTGTACTTTGTAACGGTGCACAGTCCATCTTATGATCGGGTGCAAGGACCAGGAAGGCTACCAATGGCTCTGATTGAATGATTGAGATTAAGACTGCACAATGGACGGCTGTGGTGATGTGCTCCTGCTCCTGCTGGGCTCTCCGTCTCCGCGATGGACCGACGATCGGGAATCTCTCATTGCAGGAATTGTCCCGAGTTGCATATCTATCGACATGGATCCGATCACTCGGTTTGGTTTGGAGCACTGGTACTTACCTTACTTTACTAACTTACTGACTTACTTACGGACGTACCTTTCCAACGGGCCCGGATCATGTTGTTTGATAGCATGACCTGCAGTGTCGATCATGACAGCATGGCGCCATATCCAGCAGGGATTCCGTCCGACATCCTGGTCGGCGACCAGCTAACTAGCTAGCTGCTGACCCAGATCGAAGATGCCAGATGGTGTCATTATGATCGGGATCTCGCATCACAGTAGCAACCATCAGTTCTGCCGAAACTAAAACTGAACAACCCTGTGGGGTGCCGCTATCTGCATCCACTACCGTGGTGGTTTCTTGGCCTGTAATTTCAAGTTTACAACGGGGGAAATCTTGCTCGTGGGGTGGACGCTCGGTCGATCGGTCGGCGCATCAACTACATGCTACGAAAATGGGATCAACCATGCCTTTCCAGGCAAGGGGTTAGTTATCACACGTCCTGCAACTCGAGCGATTTGGCTGTCTGCGGCGGGAAGGGCCACGGGGTCGGTCATTCCAACTTTGTTTCGGTGTCGTGGGCGCGGAATGGTGCGCTTTTGCTTTTGCCTCGAATGAGGTAGGTTCTGATATCGTCCAGACGTCAATGTTGAGTATCCGCTGTCCGTCCAAGACCTTGTCGTAGCATGCTCACGCGGTCGGAGCCATGTCTGATCTTCACAATATGGCTGGTATCGTTGGGTCAGTTGGGCGCTATTACGTCGACGGTGGCCTTCGATGGAAGGTGCCCTTTCAATGGCATTCCTCAACGTTGTGTCCGAGCCTGTTCCAGTCCATTGTCCAGGCCATGATCCCAGACCATTATGTCATGAATTCCCGTGACGCTGGACCCTTTGCCTCCGGTAGCAGGATGATATAGTCGGTGATAACTGGAGATCGTGACTAGTTGCCAATCTGTTCGGTTTTCATTCCTATAGCAGATTGTCGTTCGATGATCCCCCGCTCGATACGCGTCTGTTGTCGACCGATGGTCAGCGGAGCGACAATCCCTAGAACCCAGCTCGTATCAACAGGCAAGGCTCAAGTAGGCAAGGCACGTTCGTATCCCGGTCTATTGCTCTTGTGGGTGGGTATTGTAGCTCGAATGCCCATCCATCGATGTCTCCTCTGGTGTCAAACGGCAGTCCCCCGGGTGTCTTGCATACTGCAGTGCTTGCTCGCGTGGCAAGGCAACGACCCTGTGAGCAAACTAGTATTCTCAGCGATGTAAACCAACGTGTCTATCCCCAGTCTTTCCATTACCCCCATTTCCGTGGTATATTCTGGTCGATTTCTGGTCCAGGAATGACGATAATGGTATCCTGCAGGTTCGTCAACGACAGGTTGTGTGTCGAGCAGATCATTCATCCGGTCGACTTCGTCTTATGGGTCTGGGAGACATGAGCTTGGTGCCATTTGAGACGGACCTGTCGCTTGGGGCCGATGTTATACGAATCCGGTGAGTCTTTGTTGTCGCGGTGGGTCTGTCTGTCATCCGTGATCATTCATGTAACAACGGCTGTATAGCAGGGTAGACGACCACCACACATATGTCTGGTTTCTCGCTACAGGGGCAGCAGGTTGTATCCATAATCCAAAGGGGAGCGACCAAGGTACGAAGCAGAATCTGTCGTTCTTCCACCGTTGGACTGCACTGTTCCAGGGACGAACAGTTCTCCGATGCTATACATCGAGTCCTCGACATTCCATTCACAAGTTCGCGAGGCATGAATTCCGAACCCTGCGGTCGCAAGATATTGCCGTTGGTGAGCCGGTACCTGGAATCAGAGGTCAGACCGGTGGTTATCACGTCACTATGAATTCCTCCGCGGTCCATCGGCGGTGGTCTTCAAGTCTCCCCGGTATAGATCCTAGCGAATCCAGGCGTCGGAACCGTCTCGCACAGCTGCATCTCAAATTGTTGCGCAGAACATAGCAGAGGCTCGGCAGGATCAACACATCAAGCGGCGTCGTGAAGAACCCAACCCAAGACGCGTTGCGTCCCAGCCAGCCCCGTGACCGTGACCGTGACCGTGGTTCAGGCAAGCCATGTTGTTGGCCTGGGGCAGCGCACGCGGGCAGCGGCCATCCCAATCGGGACCCCCGACAACAACCACCCACCCAACCACACCGATCACAACGATGATTCGCAGCCAAACCACGCTCGTTTACTTTTATTTGCCATATATATATATTCGTAGACATATCACCATCTCCAATCTCAACTTGATCAACAGCTTACCCGACCGTGGAAGCGAGCATCATGTCCCCGATCTACCCTGATCTTGTGGTCGAGTTGAACCCCGTCGAGCTCGATTTGAGTTGAACCCCCCGGTTCAACCCGCAGTTGGGTTCAAGTGTTCAAGTGGTAGTACGGAGTAGAACTAACCTATCTATCTACCTACTGCGACTGATTCTGGTGCACGGATTAGCTCGCTTTGAGGCTAGGCGAGGCTATGATCTTGCGTGTGGTTGCTGAGGGACTTGTGATCTCTAGCTGGGACTTGCTTCTGGGATTAATCTACATGCGTAACTGTGGTCGAATGGTCTTCAAGTGTTTCTGCTGCTGCGCGACCGTCGTCGGCTGGGTTGTACGATATTCATGCTTTTGGTGGTTTTTTAGGATTTACTTCGAGTGATGCTGGGTTTTTCGATTCTTGTAGTGTAGTGCCGTGTTGTATTTGTATGTCTGAGGTACTATATGTACGTTGTATATCAAGGTGGGAAGCGTGTGTGTTGGTGGTATGGATAGTACTAGTATATATATATATATATATATCTGGAACCGTGGATAAGTAGGTAGGTGTACCCGCATAGAACTGCCGGCGTATTCTACGTGATTTTTTTGGTCATGAATATATATATATCTCCAAACACCACCATAATATTAACTAGCATATTACGATATTCTAACTAAGCTTGAATTCCTATCAATACCGAATATTTATTTTGATTTATTTTGATTTATTTATATTGTGCATGGAAAGGCACTTGGTGATTTCTCCATTCGCATCGAATGCCGAAGGCCGCCGCAGCTCGACTGCCGGGAACGCGTCAGGTAGTAGCGCGTACATCGTCGACGTGGGTACAAGTGCACAACAGCGAAAACTACGGGTTCAGATCAACTTGCACCAGCACTATGCTTAGTACGATGTTCGTTTTATTTATTGTGAGAATAATTTAGTCATGAGCCGGAGAGGGGACTGACTAATGGAGGAGAATGGGTAACATGTATTGTAAGATAGCCAAGGTCACACCGAAGATTAAAAGACAAGATACACTGTGCCGACGCGCGTAATCATAACAAACTAAACGCGATAATTCGAAAATAATACTTTTTTATCGTCTTTCGACTGTTCGTATTCATATGAGATCGCGTCGTGGACCGCGCGATCTTCTTTAGCCTATGGCACCAGCCGAAGCATAAAGGCCGCTATGATACAGAGATTCAACCACGAACACTAGCAGACCAGTAGTGGACGCGTAATAGTAAAATAAAGTGCGATAAAGCAAACCCAGACCCATGATACTTGTAATGAAAAGATCAAGAACACCCCAACGTCCCAGTCATACCATGAACCAACCCGAAAAAGCAACCCGTCGCGTCACCGCTGCGGAAGGACTGACGCGCCGACCGCGCAGGATGGCTGAAAGAAAGAAGCAAAAGGAAAAACGCTTAACCACCGAAACCGTACAGGGTGCCTGAGAAGGAGAATGT